TGTGGAAGGAGAGTGTATTACATATGTATATGAGGTACAACTTGCAAAATATACCAATTATTTGTCTCTTAGAAGACATTACTAACGTGACTTTGATGCTGAAATGAGGATATTAATTAATTAGTCAATTTCACATCTAGTCTTTACGATTTTGATGACCTAAGTAGATGCGTGTAATCCTAGAGACTACAAGTTTTTTCTTTTTTTTCCACCTTATAAAACATGGGTGAAGTTTTTTTCACCTTTGAAAGAATTGCTTATTTGACATTTTTAGTCATGGTATGTTTGTTTCGTTGTTTTTTTATTGTGTATTTTTAGATATTTTTTATATTGTGAATGTAACAAAAGTGTATTAAAAATGTAAAAAAGTATGTTGAGATGAGACAATTATTATTTAAATATTTTAAAAATAACATAAAAAAATCCTAACAAACTAATGTTGTTACTAGAAGGATCGATCCCTAAGCCAAAGTCATTTGGAAAGAGCGTTGTCAACTTTTTCACTATACCAACTTTCAATCCGACTCAAGGGAAGAAAAGAGAAAACTAGTGTAAGCATACATGGATAAGGCCACAAATTCTTCCCTTGAGAAATTTTTTCGCTAATTATATTTAAACTGGATAATCATTTTAAGACATAGTATATATGAGAAATATTTTTCCTTTATTATATTTAAATTAGACAATTATTTTGAGACAGAATATATATTGAATGCATCGTAGTTTAGTGCATCGTACAAATATGGGGGGAAGCAAAGCTTAAAATCATTAGATGAAACATTTGCCGGAAGAAAATCAATATTTATCATCATGATGTCCTAAAAGAACAGCTTTTTTCCTATTAATTCCAGGATTTTAGGTTTTATGATTACATTTTTAATTTATAGGTTTCTCCGAAAAAATAGAAAGGAATCTCTGGCTTTCTTTTCAAATTGGTCTGAAAGCTTTTCTTTTGTTCAGGGAAGGGAGACAAATACACCTTTTTACTCCTTATATGTTACCTCAGTTTGCAACATTGAAAGAAAGAAGGTGAAACTCTAGTGCAGTTATTTTTGAGGTGTCAATTTCACAAATCATTTTACCAAGTGTCTTATCACATAATTAATATAACATGTACCTGTTAAGTAGGTAATGCAATAAACAAGATCTCTTTTTTGGACAAAAGGAGTAGTGAAATTATATACAAAACTGCTTCATCTACAATTAAAGCAAGCTTTTCATTTCCACAAATTGATATTGCATGTGATTTTGTCAAAAGAGCATGTATAAAAATACCCTTCTCAAAATGCTGAAGAAGTGCAAATATGCGTTGTCCTGAACGAATGTTTGGCTAAATGTATACAAGTGTCCTTTGTCCTAATTGTAATAAGAAAAGAAAAGAAAAAAAAAGGCTATTGTAAGATGGTCAAAAAGAATAAAGGCAAATTAATACAATTGGTTTTGCACTTAGAACACCATGCATTTTTGTGTTGTTTCTCATTTCCACAGTTTTCATGGATGTCATTATACAGATGATATTAATTTATCCATAATATTTCTAACTTTTTATATCATATACATACTTTAATAAAATCACGTCGTTTTATTACTTAATTACGCGATACAATAGATTATAGATGCTGAGAAAAATTTTTCGAACATTAGACTATAAGATTATGCAAATATACAATTATACATACCTCCATCATTCCTGCATTATTGAAACATCCTTAGTGCTCTTTACCGCAGCCAAATGCATGTCATTGGTTTGAAAATAAAGGGATGTGACAGCAATTTATAATGAGCTAATTGGAGAAATTTCAGCAATGAAATTGACTTCTTTATTTGTTAATTACGTGCCCCTTCTGGAACTTTTATAAACTACTCCTCTGGTCCTTATTATAAATCATTTTGATTTCGTCCTATGTTTCACATAAAATGTTATTTAATTGTAATAAAAACCTCAAAAATATTTCATAATAATTAAGAGAACATAACGAATGTGAAAATATATTTTTAAATTCTTTTAATTAAAAATACATATTAAGTTAAACCTAGAACGAAATCAAGATGCCTTATAATAAGGACAGGAGGGAGTACATAACTTTGAACTATATCAGGTAAGTTTAAAACCTCCGTGGAAAAAGTTTCCATAAATAGGTACGTGTCATAAAGTTATTGTACCACCTAAATTTTTAAGATCCGGTTTAACATTTTCTGAAGATTCTGTGCTCCACACATACGGAAGTTTCATTCCTAGGGCACAACACAGTCAATTTTGGTTGCTACATATTTCACAAACATGCTTCTAAATCAGGGTTTATTGAGGGGTTGGAGCTAAATTTCTTAATTCCAAAAATCTTATGGTTTGGGGGAAAAAGGGGGGAAAGAAAAGAAAAAGAAAAACAGGTACTAAAATGTTTAAACTTGGATCGAATATGGAATTTCATCAAGTAGAGGCTGAAATCCTTATGGATCAATCGGATATTTTGGTGCACTTATAATGTTACATGATGTGAGATAGTCCATATTTGGCACGTATATATCCTTAATACTTCTTTCATCCACATTTCAAGAAAAAAAAAGAGGAGAAAATACAATTTAATTTTTTTTTTTTATGCCATAAGAATGAATACTCCGGTTTGCATTTTCAATGCAACATCTACAGAATAATTTCCATGTCGAAAGTTTTGCGACATGTTCTTAGGAGACCCTCGATTTTCCTCTAATATTGTGATAGTAAATAAATACTAATGAGTAAAACACGAGTTTATTTAAAGGGTAATGCTAATTAAGAAAGTGTTACCAAAAAAAAAAATCATCATTTTAGACTCTCTTGTAAATAACATAAAGTTTTCATCAGTTTGAGTTCGGATTTTCTAGCATATTAGTCAGGAGCATGATGGTTAATTAAGTGGATTAACCAAAGGAGCAACCCTCCCAAAAAAAATAATTATCATGTCGATTAAATCCAATTGGAAATGTTATTCAGTCAAAATTAAATATGATTGACTTATACATCAAGGCACCCATGAAGGGCTGCGCGTGTTTCATTAATTAGTTTTCTTTCCTTTTTTTTTAATTTTTTTTATGTAATGTAGTTCAAATATGGCTAAATGATTCTGAATTCAGCCTTGTTTACTAGGCATGAGTAATGAGTTGACTAGAAGTTCAACGATCAAACTATATTAATTCACCTGTTCCATTTTGGATTAATAATGCTCCAATATTTTGAACACTGGATGTGTGTGCGATCAAATTGCCCTAATTCTTTTAAGATGGTATAAGAAAATAAAGCAAACAGTGAAATTAACGAACTCTAGATAAGATTCAGTTTGAAAAAACATAAGCAACCTATAATCCTACATATAAAGAAAGGGTAATTATAGGCAAGTAGATTTGGCACATGCAACAACGTAGGTAAGGATTTAGGGATCAATATAATTTTTTATCCCATTTCTTTGCACTTTGATTTAAATCCAACATTAACTGAAAGAAGGAATCAACATTACTTTAAACAAATGCAACAAAGTGATGCAAGAATCGAGACTCTTGTCCAATGCTCCAATTATTTTTCCTTTTCCCACTTCTTTGATCATCAACCACAAATACAATGATTAGATATACCAAGTTAAAGGGAACCATATATTCTAAAAGTGTGATCACAATTAAACTAATGCTGTGGTCAGAAGACTTTAGGATAATCTTTGATTAATTAAGTCACAATGATGTATGAAGCTATGTCTCATTATCTAACTAGCTTTAGCTAGCTTCTGAAGATTCATAGAGCCCAAAAGTGGCAAGATTAAAGAATGTATTTATCCAAATTTAACACTCAGTTATGCTCTCTCCCGTCTGAAATATAAGTCTACTATGTGTTCCAAAAGAATTACCGTATTTGTCGAACTAAAATAATACATAAGTACTAACATTGCTATTTTCATATATATCCTAATTTATATTTATATACTTATTTCACTTTTGAAACACGATTGATATATAATGAGTCGGAATTTCATCTTGGTGTGTATGTAGTAGTAGCTTGGCACCTAGCTAGAGACTAGAGTAAAAGATTCTCACCCTTCAGGTAGGGCAAAATTTTAAGCGAATCACATGCATAGCATTCTAATTGTATAGACATGCAGTTCTGATCAGACAAACTCAAGCCACACAACATATCAACTAATTAAAAAAGACTAATTAATCAGCCGACAAAAGATTCAAGAACTATTTATTCAATGATCTCCTTTTGGCAAAAAAAATTAAAACAACTGTTTGGCAAAAACTAGTATAAAACACTGCCAAATGTCGTGAAATTATCCTGCTCGAATCTGTATTAATCGGACAATAAGTTCGAACATTGGATACATGTATAATATATCAAATAAAACAGCATGAAACGATCAAAACCTCAACTTTGTGTTGAGCCAAAAGGGAACCAAAAGATCTCCCTAGTTTGACAGGTTATAAACAATACATAAACAAGAACATAACTTTTTCTTAATCCAAATAAAATTATGATTAAGAATGCATGTGATGACAAATGAATTAGATCCCAATAGTAAGCACTTAATCATAACCATAAATGAATAAATTTATATAAACAACTCATCAGTGAGCAGTAGCGTATCTATCAATCTAAATTTGTGTGTCACATGCAACAATGAAATTATTTTTTTCCCTCGAAAAATCTACAAGTATGTTTAGAGTTCTAATTTTATGATAATAACATTTTTCTACCCTCACCGTTTCATTCCACACCAAGCACTAGAATTGTTTATTAGGGATGGGATGAAAGGATTTCAAAGCTTAATTGAGAGATGCAACAAAATATACCCGACAAATGTTAAATGCATGATGCACCATGATAACCAAATCGAATGAAATACTATATTTTTAATCGAAAAAGGCATATCTAATTGATAGGTACAGTAAGCCCACTGCCAATAATTGGTTTAAAAAATTCATGTTGTCAACAGAAAATATATCATTCTAGTCAGATCTTTCTTCCAATTATGGGTCCCTTTAATTAGTAAAAACATCTTAATCTTACCCTACAATATCCATCACAAAAAAAATTTTCTTAGTGGCAATGGATTTCTTCTTTGGCATTATGTGACAGCTTACAATGAATAAATATATATAAGGACATTAGTACTATCAATATATATGTAGTCCAACTCACAAGCACAAGCCAATATTGTCAAACTCAGAAAGAAAGACAAATTTCGAAATTGAAAGTTTCTCATTTCAATCATTGTAAAGTGGATTCATTCACGATGCAAAAGAGATTGAAAACAAGAAGTACTTGGATCTCACAAATGAATCTACAAATTAATGAAGATGACACTCATGAGAGGGTAAGCTCAATACACTAGAAGTAGTAGTAGATAGTAGCAATTAATAATAACCTAACTAAAACTTCACTATTAGAAGAAGTTCATGTGAAAAGAAGTTAATGTCATCTCCCAATCGGGGAACATCAGCTCTCATACATGACATGACTGAAAATCACTACTACTCATTCATAGCATCAGCAAAAGGGTCACAAATATATATATTTACATATGTGATAGCAATGAATAGTTCGTTTATTTTAGAGGTTAGAAGTTTAACAGAAACGTATCGCCCTCAGACTAACATAGCTCAATACTCATCAACACACAAACTTGTACACACAATTTCAAACTTCTCAAACCTCCTACATTATAGTGTCAAACACAATGTCAACCACAGGTAGAATCTAAATATGCACGATGAGGGCTCTCTCAAGAGTTCAGTGTATTACTTATTCGTACAGTAAATATATAACTCTTATTCACGGTGGAAGGTAATAAAAATGTGGGGATTTATAGCTAAAAACATTGAAAACCATGCCAGTTCTGAGGTATTTCTGCTCAATGTTCAGAGTATACATACAAGCAAAATTAATGCAGTAGCAACCAAAGTATATGCATATGCACAAAAGAGGGGGGAAAAAAATGAAATGTACAAAAAAAGGCCACTTCTGTTTGTGCTAACAAAGACAGACCAGTGCTGGGACAAAGCTGACACCTGATATATCTAATCTTTGCAAAGTCATACATATACTATATCTGGATGATTTGCCAATTCCTTACCAGAGAGCAAAAGAAAAGCAACAACATTTCCAGAAAAATTATATATATATATATATATATATATATATAAATAAAACACTGAACCTGATTTTTGCAAAAATCCAGCACTTGCAATAAATGGTCTCTCCTTCAGAAAAGAAAACCTGCCTTATGACAAAATTTCATGAATCATAAAAAAACCCAACCAAAAAAAAAAAAAAAGAAGAAAAAATCTCAAAGATAGATCGATCCCACCACAAAACACAAAAACAAAAACACTGTCTCCTCTCACTGAATCAACAAGTAGAAAACTCAATATCGACTACCAGTTCTATTCATTGTTCCAGTACTGAATTCATTCAATAGATACAAATACCAAACAATATTCAGTGATATATACTACAACATCATCATTTTCCAAAACCACAAACTTCAACATTTTTGCAACAATCTTAAATCAGGTAAATAACAACAAAGACACACGAATAAACTACTTAAAACTTAGAATTAATATAAAAACGGTGATAATTAATAATGCAAAATATTCCTTAAACCCTTCATAGTTCATACCATAAAGGGTAGCAGATAACTAGATATAGAGTGCCAACATCATCCAAAAGAAAGACTACTTACTAAATCATAACAAATGACAAAATATTACTTGGGAAGAAGGATCATCTCATCTCATGCAAATTAACATTATTAGTACTCTTTGTTTTTTTCAGCTCGATGAAGATGCAGGATGCATAGCTAATTGCTGTTGTTGTTGTTGTTGTTGTTGAGGACGCTTTCTCTTCTTCTTCTCATAGCTGATTCCTCTTGCTTTAGCCTGAGAATCACGAACTTCACGTAAATAAAGCCTAACAGCTCGAGCTCCAAAAGGGTTGGTCTCAGGTTTCCCACCATTTTCTTCATAAGCAGCTCGAAGTCTACCAATCAAAGCATCAAGGCTTCCCCAAGCTTGTCTGAGGGGACAAGGGCAAGGTGCCGGAGGATTCGGGTGCCCGAAAAACGGGCAGAGCTGAGTATGAACCTTAGTCTTTCCGAACTGATCCAAGTACCTTAAGAACTCAAGAACATGAGCTCCGCTGCATCGAGATAAAGAGAGTGGCGGCCTGTGGTTTTTGAGGTATTGCCCAAAAGTGTTCCAATCTCTTCGCTTTTGGTTCTCGTATCGGCTTAGGGTTGTTGTTGATGAAGGAGAAGAAGATGAAATGGTTGAAGAAGCTGAAACAGCTGATGATGAATTAGGTGAAGTCATCATCATCATGTTCATTCCACTCATTGAGGAAATGGCTGAGCTTGTGTTGATGTTCAGTGAATCCACTTCTTGAGTTGAATCCATTAAAAGGGTTCTTTTTTTTTTGGGATTTAATAAGTGTTTTGATGTAAGAAAATTGAATAAAAATTTGATCTTGGAAGAAGAAGAACAAGAAGAAGAAGAAAAAAGAGGTTACGGGTTTTTGAGATTGATCATGGTTTTTGGTTTAGATGATGAATTTGAGAGTGAGAGAGAAGAAGAAGAAGAAGAAAAAGAGAGAGAAGGGAGAAGATATGAGTGGTAATATACATATATATATATATATATATATATATAGATGGATGGCAATATGTAGCTCAAAATCTTTTTCTTTTTAAGATTTGCTTCTTTTGAATCTTTTTTTTTCTTTTTTTTTTGTTGTTTGTGTTTGATCAATCCTAGAAAACTCTATGAAAGGTGTTTATGATGGTTGTTGTTGGGTTTGGTTGGCTTTTTATGGCTTTGTTTTCTGAAAATGTTTAAGGAGATTGGCTGATATTTTTCCTAGAAAAGGGGGGAAGCAACTGTAGTTTCATTTCATCTCTCTCTTCTGAAAGATGTGTGCTCAGAGAGAAGACAGGGAGTGAGAGAGAAAGAAAAGGAGTGTGTGAGTGTGTGAGAGAGAAAGAGATGATGGTAAAATGGTAAGTATGAAGGGAAGGGGGGAAGGTTAGGGCTTTTGTGGAAATGAAAAGAGGTTGACAGTGTGAGGTAAAAGAAATGATGGATGGAGACATGAAAAAGCTAACAGTAGGGTTAAAAATTTGAGGGAATATTATGATTTTGTTTCTTCACACTATTGAGAGGTGTGACCAATCTACCTTTTGGCTTTTGCATTGATTGACAACTCCTTTCCTATCCATAATTACCAAAATGCCCCTCTTTTCTTTACATTTTCAACTTCTCCATTTTTTTATTTTTTATTAGGGGGAAAAAAAAAACCATTTTCAACTTGTTTGCTTTTACAATGAGGAGGAATCTCTATATGTGGTGCATCATATATATAATGCTATGCATACATCTAATTAGTATCATTTCTTTTCCTTTTTTTTGAAATTTTATTAGAAGACAATTTATTTATAGTGAAATTTGTAACTTCATACACGAACTTAATTTGAAAGGGTGTGTTTTTCTCTCTCTATTTTTGAGTTATTGGCTAATCAATAAATTTCAATCGAATCACTTAATCAAAATTGAGTATTACAACCCAGATCACGGCCGTGCCGTGACAATCTTTCAGACATACATATATATATATATGTCTGGAAGGTTGTCATACCCAATATTCATTAATTGGTATGATTAAATTCAGTTGGTGCGATAAATGAAAATTTGAGCATTATATATTATATTTGTTTGTGTTAAAATGTGTGTCTAATTTGATTTTTATTATGTAGTTTACCATAAGAGAGATGATGGTGACCTTAGCATTATATCATATCAGTTTACTAATGTTTAGCTTCATTATTTTGGTGTCGAGGGGAGGATTATTGACTTTTTTATTCACCCAAATCTCAAGCTTAGAGTAACAAAAACTTACATCAATTTCAAAAATCCAACATAAAAAAAAAAAACCACCACAGACTGAACACTCGTAATTGGTTTCCATTGTTACTATTTTCAATTGCGTCGAATACGAAAGCAAATAAATGCTCAAAAACATTATTATTACTTCCAGGACAAGATGATCACAGAAGATCACAGTTATTATGGTGACCCTTTTTTTTTTTTTTTTCTTTTTTCTGTTTTCTTTCTCTTAGTAAAAAGGATGTATATAGCATGAGATTGCCCTTTTCTGGGTTAAACATCAAATGACTATTTTGCTGTGATTAAGAATTTTCCTCCTTTTTTTTTTGTTTTTTAAGACTTGGAATGCTTAGGGTTAATACTTGTGTTAAGGGTGGGACTATAAACGAATTAATGGATGGTTTTGTACCTCAATGATATATATATATATATATATATATACTTAAAATATATAAGAGAAAATGTTCACCTTAATTAAAAAGTACTAGATCAAATTAACTACGATCAAGGTTTTAAATCGATATATGTGATTCAGATAATTGAAAACTATAGAGCCCTTATATGCCAATATCTTTGATAATTAAAATTTGATTGAAAATGAAATTCCCTCTAATCTGTCTGTTAAGCACATGGGCTGCTGTTAAACTTGTAGTATATGCTAATGGTATAGCTATAAATCTATCATGTCTCCTGATTTGAAAGCTGAAATATGTTTCTTTGCAACAATGAAAATTCTGGCTAAATAATTCTCGATGTGTTGCTTTCACAGGTGAGTGGATGAGAAATAGTCTTCCCTTTGTGAAAAGGACTCTTATATATATGATTCAAATCTAGCAAGAAATTGAATAATTGTTACTTAGAATGCTTGGTTAGGGTTTATGATCATCTCATAATGTCGAGTTGAACTTTGAACTTCATGACTATTAGAGTAGACGAGATCATTTATCAACAGTTATTCATCTATTAATATTAATTTATATTATCTCACTAATAAAACACAATGATTAATTAATTGACAAAAAATGGTAGAGAAGGTAACATTCCCCATCATTATATATATACTATAATATGTTACTATGCTGAATGACATTGGGAATATAAGACGCTACAAACGATCAATTTGATCAGTTTACATGTGTAAGAATGTCAATTTGATAGGACTTTTAAGAAATTTTTGGAGTAAACCAACAGTGCATTTTGTTGGTAGTCAATTTTTACTAGGGAATATATTTTTTTCAGAGTTCAAAGTTACTAAAAAAAAAAAAAAAAAAGGTACTTTGAAGCGAGTTTTGACAGTACGTAAGTACATTTTGTTCATGGCTCGAGAAGAAAAAGTTTTGTGTTTGCAGCCTTGTTTCATGGTGATTGAAGTGCTTTGGCCTCTCCTAGGTTGTAAAATGGTTCATGGATTCAACTGCAAAAAAAATTGATTCAAGAGACATAATCATAATGTACTTTGAAGCGTTTTGTATGTACTTGAAGAACCCTGTTAATGGCTTCTTGCTAGATCTTTAGCCACAAATTTTCTTGTAACACGCCAAACTACGTATTTGAAAAATCAATATCTTCCGGTCCTTAATATAAGTATTTGTTTATCCAATAACTCATTTTCTATTTTCACTCATTTTATCTCTTAAACACAAAACTCAATGAAAAAAAAAAAATCATCCAAACAACTTTTTAATTTACCTTTTAAAATGTTGTGTTTGGTCATTACACTATTGTAAAGTCTTCGTTTTAGTCACTGAACTATTGTAAATTCTTCGTTGTGTTTGGTTTCTAAACTATTGTAAAGTGTTGCGTTTGGTCACTGAACTATTATAAAGTCTTGTGTTTGGTCGATATACTATTGTAAAATCTTCATTTTGGTCGCTGAACTATTTTAATTTCATAAATGGTCACTATACTATAATACTTTCTAAATAAAAAACTAAACTACTTTTTAAATCTCCTCTCAAATCTAAATAAAAAACTAAAACAAAACGTTGTCCAAACAAGCACTAAGTCATTTTGACTTGTCCATAGTTTCACCTAGTATGTATTTTTAATTGACAAAAAAATCTTAAAAATATTTCATCACAAGCAATAGAAAACAATGAATGCGAAAATATATTTTTAAGTTTTTTTATCAATTAAAAATGTGTACTAAGTAAAATTTAGGACAAATCAAAATGTCTTATATTAAGGACCGGAGCGAGTATTTTTTTGGACCGAAAAAATATATATAATTTTTTAATTCTTATCACTTATATTAATTAACATATGATCCATATTGTTTATCACTTTCTATATAACACTAACTATGATCATTTAGGAACATTTTAAGGGACAAGTCAGCCATAAACTTATGGTCGAAAAAGTCTGCTTCCCATGTAACCCTAATTCCATATTAATCTTTATTTAATCCCTTGAAATTCATTTGGGGGAAAAAGTGCGTAAGAAGAGATGTTACTTTGATATCTATCAAATTTTTTTAAAAGGTTCTAATTGTTCCATTAGTACAAACAAATCGAATATTAATAGATATCAAGCAAATTAAAGCCAATTACTTTAACTAAAGGTCTAATCAACCAACTTTAAGGCCATCTAATAATTCATTAAAGCAGAGCTTCTGCTAGTTGATTAACTTGCAATATTTACAAGACAAGAGGGAAAGAACATAAATTAACTAGAGAATATTGTTAATTAAGAACCAGGGTGTAGTTTAAAGTAGTGAAAAAGTAACCCAAGTTCAAAGCAAAAGAATAAAAAATCCAGAATCTTAATTACCAGCTAAGTGATGTGAGAATCCCATTCCTCCACGAGGTAATTACAGCCAAAAGTAAAACGATATGAGATAAATTGTAGTAATTTTTTTTGGGACGAAAAGAGTAAAATATGTTTACGAACGCGCGATGGATTTTGCAAGTTGAATAACATTTTTGCAGACTAATTCAAGAGACGTCGCTTATCATGGAACTGAAGTTATTCTGCTGCGACATTGTCAATTCCACACAAGTGGTTTGTCACACTAAAGTGGTACATATTCCTGAAGATCTTCTTCAGCTTCAAAATCAAATTTTATGGACAATGACAATGCACTTAAAAGTTTACATGTACTGATACTCAACTTCAGAAGTGGTGTGGCCCTTTTGACAAGCAAATGTTTTAAGTTCAATTCTGCAATTCAGATGATGATCATTTTGATCATAGACAGGATAAACATGATTATCACACTACTTAAAATATTATCATCTTGTGTATAAATAATATCAACGAATCAACGAGCTTCCGATACGCCGAGTAAATATTGCAGGACACAGCGAGCATGTAGATATTACAAAATCATTTCCGTGACATATAATTTACAAACATTGATATGCACATTATGGCTAAACAGCATAGAGCCTTACCACTTGATCTATATTGGCACGGCAAACAGGGCATCCCCAGTTCTTGGCCTTGATTTCATTGAGACAGGACATGCATCCAGCCATATGACCACACGGAATGCAAGCTCCTTCGACTGGTGCATCCAAGCATATTACACACGAGGAAGAAGAAGCACTTGCATCACTCTTTTCCGCGTGTTTAGCATTTGTGTCCACCGGAGGCGAAGTTAAATCAAGAGGGCTGTTGTCTATGGATGGATATTGAATCGGGCCATCATCCTCAGGTGAATCTTCAAGAGGTGGTGCTGATGGAATGGAACCAGCAGTGGAGTTCTCAGTTGCTGCGGCAGAAGACGGGCCAGCCTGGGCCTGCCCCTGTGAAGCTGCTAGTTCGGTAGGACTGCTTTCTGGGTGTTTACCTCCACTACTGCTTCCCTTATTGGGGAAAGCTTGTCCACTAGTAACACCATCATTGTTAATCCGACTTGTGGATGGATTTGATGGAGAAGCAGCGTGAAAATCCAGATGATGTGGTATTTCTTGGACAGCAGACTGAAGAGAGGCATTTATTGCCATGGCTAATTCCATATCCTCTGAACTTGGCGGAGCAGTCGCCGGGATACCATGAGGTGCAGGATTCAAAGAAAATGCTGGCTGAACAACCTGGAATTTACACCAGCAAACAATGAAATCTTTCTAATGACAACACATGTATTATTCAAAAATTTTACTTTCTCTGACAGAACCAAGTCTGGAAACAATAATTGGTTGATAAAACCTCAAAAAGGGGAAAAAAAAAAAAAAAAGGGATTCGAGAAATGCACATATCCCAACTTGGTTATTTGAGCAAATATGACTAATTAAAGAAAATTGGGAGTGACAAAAGAGACTCAGGTTATTTTACAGTCTATGTTGCATCCCTATTCACTCTTTCAACCAAATATGCTGCAACTGAAATTTCTCTAACCTGAGGAATCCCTTTGCATGCATTACAAAACCACTGCAACTGTTGTTTGTCACTCTCCTTAGCAGCAGCCAGTTTGATTCGTGTTCCTGTTATCAGAGATATATAAATAGTAATCAGACAATATTTAACGGCTTCAATGTCAAGTAGTAGGCAAAAGCAGCAGGCCATATCAGTGATGGCTAATCTTTCCTGCACCCCAAGAGCATATACATGTAAACCATCTACAAGATCAATCATCTTCAGGACTAGATGTCTTAACAAATTTAAGAAAGTTTACTTCATTTGTTATTTTATTTTTTGTCACCAAACTTCTTATAGCACCAGTATATGACCAGATGCTGTAAATCACAAACGAGATGGATAACTGAAACAATCAACCAGTATGGGATGGCTGCTATATCTTCTGCTATTGTTAACCTTCAACATGCAAGAGGTCCTTCAACATGCAAGAGGTTTAATCCAACAGGATTATCAGCATTCAAATAACCACTAGTAGAAGAATGCACAGTGAAAACTCTCCTACATAGACGGAATTTCTTTAGAGAAATGTACCACCGTCCAGTTCACAGAAACAACTCCTAGCCTAGACACATTTAAAGTCCTACCAAAAAGCTCTAAAAGTCCATCTAGTTCTCAATCTTGTCGGCTCTTAATTTGATAAAGTTCCAGTTTTTCCGGCAAAAGGTGTTGCAGTTTCACAAATTGCAACTATGGTGTCCAGTTTCAAACCCAACATCTTAATGGAATGCTATGCATAAATTATTATCAGGCATCAATCCTCGTAAAGAAACTATCTCTGAAGTTTAGTCAGGCTCTTGCAGATGATGACCTTTACAATTTGCCCACTCCTAAATGTCTTACATGCAATAAAGGTGCCAGTCTATAAGTGGATATACTTACTCCTAGCCACTTGGGAGGTAGTGATACCTCGTCTCCGTCTCCAGCGTTTGGGGACTATGGAGAAAATAAAGAACAATTATCTATCTAATAGTATCTTGCAAAACATGATTAAACATTAAATCAAGCTCAAGTGTAGGAAAATTACTGGATGAGGAATCAGTAATGACGACGGTTGGATCCGGTTGGCTAAAGTTTGGGTCTGCCATATTGGCCTTCCACAGAGCAATGATCGTGCGAGGTTGGGCATCCTGATCATCGACATAAATCAGCAGTTATTCAAAAAGGCCCAAGCTTTTTAACAGGTAGAACTGGAGACAATCAGCTCTCACACAATGCCAGCACACTTATAATTAAGCAACAAAGTAAAAAGAGAAAAAACCAAAGAAAAATTTTAGGGCCCATGCCTCCTCACAAAAGCTTCATGCAAGATCAATCAAGTTCAAGTTGTACATAAATGTAAGAAGAAGTGCTTAGAGCACTCCATTACCAATAGTGCAGACTGACGGAAACACATACTGAACAGTAATACTGATGGTAAAAGTCAAAACAATTTTGAAATGTTCTAGATATTTTAAACATGACACGGTACGCTTCACTGTTGACATTGTAAGATGCACCGCCTTATTATTAAACACTTGTAACAACTTTATAATATCAAAACACATAAAGCCAATATCAATAGATTTACATTTTACCCAAACAAAAAAAAAAAAGCCTAAACTAACTATTTTTGACGGAATGCTGGAATCAGTCATTAGAATACCTGCAGATTGGCATATACAGCAAGTTCCAACTTGAAAGGCTTTCTAAGATTCCTGGAACCACATGGAATAACAGCCACCCACCTACAGAAATAATGTTCAAATGAAAATGCCCTATTTTAAATCTTTTGACAGAGAACACATACAGTCATAGATATCCATAGTACAAATAAAATCAGAGTATAAGCAATGACCCTTTCTGGGGGAAAGATAAGTGAGAGTTCCTATGGCCAAAAAAGAAGAAAAGAAAGTTCCTACAACAAATACCACCAGTCAATCATGAAGTTCAATAGAAACATATAACCTGTGAACATTTGAGCATATATGATGTACCTAAAAAGGGATGCCTAAAAAATTCCAAGCCTTTTACTTCGAGACTTGAATAGTCGAAAAAAGCTTTCCTTTTCGTATCAGATAAATTATTTGAGAGCTTCCAAAACCATATACACCAATGAAAATCCAAAAACATATCGTTATAAAACCCCCCATTTAAAAAAATGGTAATGATTAACTGGTAAATGCCAATAAAAACCATCACCCCATGTTACCTATAACCTATTCAGCCCTTGTTTCCTTCACAACTATAGCAGATAATTTCCTTCAACTACAACCCCCCATGTTACCGATAGCCGTTTGTAGCAGATCACAACTCAGCATTTGCAGTTGCAAACTATCAATGTTACTACTGCCTATCATCAGCCACTTCACCGAGATTATTCAGTTTCTTAAAATACTGTAATACTAATAAAGACAAAAAGTTGTACACTGAACCGGGCCTTCATGATAATATATGCAGCATGGCGTGAATCACATAACCCAATACATGATTCGCAGACATGCATTCAAACCAAAGAACATCCGAGGACGTTATTATTTTGAATATGTTTCCAACAAGAACGTGTTTAAAACAAAGGTTACAAGTCTTTAATTTCCAGGTACAATAGGAAATAAAGTAATCCGTGCTCCTTTTGGAGAAAACTACTCAGATCGTTGAGAAATACAAAATCAAGCGATATAAAAAATCAATAAGGAATGTCAAAAGTAAAAAACTGCAAGTACTAATCCTCCACGTGTACAAACATAGGGAATACCATGCAATATACATAAATTGGAAAGGCATATTAAACTCACACTTTCCGGGAGAGTAACTGAGGTGCAAGCAATTCAAGAAAGCCTGGTCCATAAAGCTCCCGTAACCAACCAGAAAATAAGCAGATGTGGCTCTGGGCAGCATTAAAACATCAACAACAATAACAATGAGTTCACAATCATCTCTCAGGAAATGGATATGATTAAAAATAAAATTGAAAGAGCAAGTTTACCTCTATAGCACGAACAACATTGCTGAATCCTTTTACTCTAGCAACATCAAGTGGAGTCTGACAGTCATCATTCATCACAAGGGCATTTGCTAAAACAGGTTGAAAAACATAATGAGGAAAAAAAAAATGATAAAACAGCCAAAATAATTGCACCCGAGGACTTCATAGAGTCACAAAAATTCCACATACCTCCATGTGAGAGAAGTAATTTGACAGTCTGTTCAAGTCCCCTTTTAGCAGCATGATGTAAAGGAGTCCCCGCATGACGGCCTAATCAAATTTAAATGGTCAAGTAGCTCAGTTTAAACGTATTACCAAAAGACAAACTAATCAAAGCAATCAGTTAAAAATCTACTTTCATTCTGCATAATTCAAGTAATTAAGCACAATCTAGTTCCTTCATGTTTATGTTATTACTAATTCTCTTGATACTTGTGTGAATTGATTCCATTTGACTCCTCCTAATTAGATGCTTATTTAAGTTCAAGCACAAAAGCCCCTGCCAACCAGAAATCTCAACTATAGTAATCACAAGAAATTAACTATACGTGAAAGTAGTACCACCTGCCCGATAAGCATTAACGTTAGCCCCCAACTCTATCAAAGTTTTCGCAACATCATAAAGGCCTGGATTCATGCAAGCCAGTATCAGGGGAGTCTTCCCTTCCTTATCGATCCACTGCAACAAAGCCCATTCACGTTCAAAATACTATAAAACAACTAATCCAGTGCATAAAAAATGATACCGAAAAAAGAATGCAAAGAGCGAAACAACGGATTGCATTCATAGAATCAAATGTTACGGTTAACACCCAAGCAAACATACAAAGAAATCTCCACCTTAAGTAGGCTATAGAATTTAAAGCATATACAACTATATACTAAAATGTGGATTAAAAAAACACTCCATAATGCACAACCCAATACGGAAACCAAACCCCTCATCATTTCCAAGGCAGCAATGCCCAATGTAGCACCAGAAAACCATCATGATCAAGTCACTGCATGAAGACCCTTCTATCCAAATAGCTACCTTAAGTCAACAGACTCAAAACAAAACAAAAACTGAACCTCTTTTGCATCGAAGTTGAAACCTTTTCCTAAACAACCTTCTCTTCAATTTCAGAAAAGAAACTCAAAATCGAAGTCAAAACAGAGATAAACCAGAAAAAAAAAAAAAGAAAGAAAGAAAAAAGGGACCCTAATGACAGAATCACATGCACAGATGGATGAAATGTTAAAAACCCAAAAAAATACCTCAAGGCCAGCCCCTTCTCTGCGAAGAGCTTTGATCCCTTCAGAATTGCCATAACTCACTTGCTGATACAGCAATTCATCCTTCGATTGCTGTTGCCCCATTTGAGTTCAGGATTTTTTTTTTTTTTTCCTGTTAAATTCGATATGGTTAAAAGAAGAGAAGTTTCATGAACAAATTCTTTTTTGAGGAAAAATCCCCACAAATTTTCCGGAATTGATCTTGTGGGGGTAGACTTTGGATTTACCTGGAAAACGGTTACCAAAAATGGTTAATAAATGAGCGGGGAAGGTTAGGAGAAGGGTTATTGACTTTCTTGAAGGGCGTGGGCCCAATTATAAATTCATGGAAGTTGAGGGTCCTTTTCTTTACTTTCTTAACAAAGAAGGAAATTGTACTAAGAAAATAAACAGTATCATTCACGCGTTTTTTGAAACTATTAGGAGTTTAGGACTTGTTAATCACTTGATTTTATTACATGGTATACTATAATTTTTTTTTTTGTCAAAAAAAAAAAGAAAAGCATTTTCTTACTTTGAAAACAGGTTAATATACAATCGTGATTCACGTGAAATAATAAAAAGATACCATAGTTTTTAAGGAAAATATCAAGCACACCCTTAAATTATGAGGACAAATAGACTCTTAAAATACCCTAAAAAAAGGGTACAAAATGCCCGCTTCCAAATTTTTCAATCTACCGACAACACATTTCGGTTATAAAACTCAAAATTTGGTTTTCATAATAAATAAATTATTATTATTATAAAAGCCTAGTGGCTAGTATAAAATGAGCAAATAATATTAAGCTCCTAGGTACACCTTGCAAGGTGTATCTAGACAGTGCGTGTATCACAAATTTGAGACTAAAAAAGTGATCATTTTAGTCCTGATTTTTAGTTCTCACACGCGCATTTAATCACCCAATTTTATCCCCATTTTTTTGTTATTTAATCCCCATAATTTTATCCTCTTTTTTTTTTGGTATTTAACTCCCTGATCTTATCCCTTTTTTTTGACACACGTTTAATTTTAAACCTTTTTTTTTTGCTTATCATGTTAGCTTTTATATTATTTTATTATATGAGATAATTTTTTTCATAACGATGGATTTTATTTTAGTAAAATTGACTATGGTTAATCATTGAGACTTATGAATATGAAGAATCAATGTGTATTTTTTCAGTAATGAATAATTAACGTTTAGACAATGAATACTGTTATACAATTATTGAAAGATGATTGATGTAGAATGTATTCGTTTTATTGGTGAATATACATGCGTAAGGTAATGCGCAATATATGGTTACTGATGAACAGGAATTTCATTGTTGCTTTTTGGCAGATAGTGTATCATCTTGTTCAGATTTACGATTATTATCTTATTTTAAGTAATGAACAACAAGTTGTTATTGATGAATAACATATGATGTGCTTATTGGATGATGTTTCAACTCTGAGGAAAAGACTTTTGGTACTTATAATATCAACATTATGGACGTGATGAACAATGATGTTTTTATAGTGACAACGTTATGGACGAATAAATTTAAATTTTATAATGAATAACTATATTCACAAAAATGAATAACGATGCAAACCTGACGAATAATGATCTCATACTAAATGAATAACAATATTACAATGAAGAATAGTTGTAGTTTTACAAGATGAATAATTGTACTTTAACGAATAACTAAGCGAAAATAATGAATAACTAGAATACAAGATGAATAAAACATTTCACCAGAAAAAAAAAGACTAAAATAACCCAAAATTGATGATGAATAATGATATCGAGATGATGAATAACCGCTAGAAATAGATAATGATGTAAAAATCTGATTTCCAAAATCAACCACAAATCGATGAACAAGACTAGAACATCGATGAACTAACATGTTTTAAACATGAATAATTAATGATATTAAACTGATAAACAAAGCCTAGATCTATTAATTTTTTCTAAAATCAACCACAGATCGATGAACAAAACTAAGAAATTGATGAACTAACATCATTAATCGACGGTGAATGATGAATAATATTTCACAGAAGAAAAAAATATGACTAAAACAACCACACATTAATGATGAATAATGATACCGAGATGATGAATAATGCCAGATCTGTTAATATTTTCTGAAATCAACCACAAATCGATTACAAAGACTAGAACATCGATGAACTAACATGTTTTAAAGATGAATAATGACATTAAACTAATGAACAATACCTAGATCTATTAATCTTTTCTTCTTTACACAACAAATCTGAATCCATAAGCCTCCGGCGATTCACCAAATCTGAATTTTGTTCTTTTTCACAACAAATCTGAATCCATAAACCTTCAACGATTTATCGAACGAGCTCGAACTGGCAAATCTGAATATCGAAACAAAGATTTTGAGAATTCCAAACAAGATTTAGCGGACAAATTTATATTTTTAAGAGATAGATTTTGGAAACGACCACACAAAAGGGATGAAAAACATGATTTTTTACCATAATACTCAGCAACGTGATGCAAAATCCCAGTTTTGGCTGCACGAATTTGATTTCGTCTTCAAGAGTACTGTCGACGTGAGAATTTAGTATATCAAAATGATGCAAAATGAAAATATCTGAGATTATGATTGCAGATGGAATGGATGGAATGGTACCATAACTGGCGGATAATTAGGGTGAATAATCGGTTATGGAAATTTAGAAATCAAAAATCCCATAAAAAAGGGATAATAAATAGTAGTTTCAGAATTTTTGAGATTGTGGGCGCGTGTGTTTCACACTAGGTACACATTGCTAGGTGTACCTAGAATCTCTATATTATAACTGGTATAAAATGCTCCCTCCAATTTCTTTTTCCCCTTTTCCTGGAATGAAGTTTCAACTAGAAAACTACAAATCCAATTTTTCATAATCAAATCAATTCCAAATAAAAAATGAACAATTGAATTGTAAGATATATATGGTAATTTTGGTAGTGGAAGATCAGGAAGTTTTAATTGCATCTAGAAATCAATGATTTAGATATTAAACGCCAAAATTTATCTCTTTAGCAAGTAAAGAGACGAGAAATTAATGCAAGCAAGTAAAAGTTGATCTGTTGATGGAAGAGAAATTTGCTTAAGAATACTTGTGTCGACTTTGTCGTCAACTTTCCTAACTCGACGAGACAGTTGACGAAACAAAATTCTCTTGGAAAAAAAATCTGTGTCAATGTATTTGTCGACATTTTTTAACTCGGTTATAAAGCTAACGAAGCCAAAAATTGCTATAAAATATTTGCTCAATTGCATCGTCTATTTCACTAAGTTGACGAAATGAAATTCTCGTGAAAACATTTGTTGTACTTTTTGTCGACTTTTCTAACTTGATGATAAAGTAGACGAAAGCAAACTATTTTAGAAAACATTTGCGTTGACTTTTTTTATCAACTTCCCAAATTTGATGATAAAGTCGACAAGAGAAAAATTCTTTTAAAAACATTCTCATCAATTTTGGCATCGTTTTTATTAACTCGACGAAAAAGCCATTTAAATTGTCATATAATTATTTTTTCGACTTTCATAACCCACCAGTAAAGTTAATAAAAGAAAATTTTAACTTTCAAAATTTGCATTGACTTAACGAATCCAAAAAGTTGTTTGACGGCTGCAAAATTATCCTATAACCAAGCCTCATGCCCTTTATGATACCATTAGAAAGGTTGAATTTTCGGTGAAACTTTCATGTTGACCTTTTCGTTGATGTTTTGTTCCTCGACGAGGAAATTGATACCAAATTCTATGATAAACTTGCATCTACTTTAATCTAATGCAAAAATTTATAGTGATTTCCCATGTCGACTAAGAATTTCAAGTCTTGTGAAAATGTGTGCCAACTACCTTAGTATGATAATAAAGCCGATTGAAGTAAAATTCTTTTGTAAACTTTTTCGTCGGTTATTGTGTCGACTTTTGCAACTCGATGATAAAGTCGACGAATCAAGATTCGTTATCGTCGATATTTTAGCTCATCGGTAGAGTCGACGAAATAAAAATTATGCTGAAACATTCACATTGACATTTCTGTTGACTTTCTTAGCACGATGATAAAGTCGACAAAATAAAATAAAATTCGCTCGTGTATATCTTTCTTGACTTTTTAAACCAATTATTAAGTCGATGGAAGTAAATTTATCTTCTTCTAAATATTCACGTCGACTTCACTAACACCACAAGTGGTTTAATGCAATAAAACTATCATGTAACTATTCACTTACACTGCTTCTTTGATTTCCTTAGTGGCTACAATAACAATGGGATGAAAATTTTTCTCGTTAAACTCTCAGATGGACTTTATTATTTGCTTTTTTTTTTTTTTACTTGATGAGTAAATCAACGTGATGCAAATCAATTCTATAATAAATTCACGTATACCTTTCTCATGTTATCGAAGGCATAATTATATAATAAAGTCCCATGTCAATTTGTCTATCCCCTAATAAACTTGTTAAAGTCATGTCAACACTTGTGTCCACTTACCAAACCCGATGGTAAAGTCTACGGAAGCAAAATTCCCCTGTAAACGTCTGCGTAGATATTTCGTTGACTTTCCTAAATCAATGGTAAAGTTGTCAAAAAGCATAGTTATCTTACAAACATGTGAAAAATGAGGATAAATATGCGGAATGATTTAAAATGAACTAGATGTTTGGCCAGGCACCCCTTCTAAATTACTATTTTATTAAAATCTAATTGAATTACTATTTTTTGAGGAATTAATTTGGCATATATATCATTTATCTATGATTTGGGGCTTAAAAAAATATATCTATAAATCTGAGGTTATAAGAGAATAATAAATAATTAGTTTATAAGGCATTATTCTTAATTGCTGGATTTAGGTATTTTTATTTTTTGTTTATATTAAGCCTGCAAAACTATACGATTGGACATTTGAATTTGAATTAATATATCCATTCGTTTAAAATGTAACTGATCCTTATTTGTAGTAAAACATGTGTTTTTTTTTTAAAAAAAAATTATATAACTTCTAATTAAAAGAGACTTACACGTGGCAAAAAGACTCTTGAAATCTGAAATATGGTGCATTGGAGCCAAAACAGATGCATACTTAGTTGACACATAAGTTTCATGTCTTCTGCTTTAATAGGGTGAAAGGGATGATCATTTATTCTGGAAATTAAAAAAGGGTGCAATAAACTACGCATGAGAGAGATGTTTGGAAATTAAGTAAAATAAGTGCCTGTAAAATGTTTTATTTATTTATTTATTTGTTTTTTGTTTTGGATAATTTTGGATTTTGAACGTTTAGAATAAAGAAGAACTGGTGCTTCTTCGATAGGAAGGATAAATAACAGTTAGAAGAGAGAATTACTGGCTTAATCTTTCCTTCATTAGCCTCTCAGAAAGAAATGAAGTACAAGTTCCAGAGGCAGGATCTTGCTCAGGCCCGGTCCAAACTTTTAAGGGCCCTAGTGCAAATAATTGAAATGGGCCCTAATAAATTAAATATAGTCCACTTTTTTAAAATATGGGTTTAAAAAATTTAATTATAATGAGTCTAAACGTTATTAATCACTTAAAGTCCATTACACTTTTGATATAAAATAAATTTTTAACTCATATATTTTGTTTTTTAAATTATAATCAAATTTGGGCCCTTATATCAAACATAACCTTACACAAAATAATCACAAATTTTGGGCCTTTTTTTCCTTGGGGGCCCTGGTGCAAAGCACCGTTTGCACCCGGCCCTGATCTTGCCAAGTCTTGAACAAATCTTGAACGAGCTGCTGCTCATGAATGAACTCATATTGATAAACGTTAGCGGTTATATAATTTTCATTAGAATATCGTTTAGGATTACAAATAAATTTAAAGATCGAGAATTGTACGTGAAGCTTTTTAGCATCTAAAAAAAATTGAGAGTGGAAGATAAAAGTATGTTAGTATAAAATTTTAAGTTTGAAGGATTGTATTAAAAAAAAAAAAGACTTTACAACATGGCACACTCTTAAAAAGGTGAAATTTAGCGATGATTACTTATATCCTTTTGGTTTTGTGCATGTTACATTATTCCATTAAGAATCAGTTCATATTAAAAATTTGCAAAGATGATCGGTACCCAAGCAAAGTGACTTTCAGTTGTTGTAGTATATGTAGTTATTTCCAGTAATTATTTTTTTGGCAACAATGATTAATTCCACTCGCTCATTGTAAACACCTCAACGAGTGGGAAAGTTGGCTAAAGGATTAAATGTTGCTCCATGCCCATGACGAGATTCGAACCCTTGATTTAAGATTAAGGGTGAAAGAGTCTTTACCACTCTACCACAATCCGTTTAGTTATAAGAATAATAATTTACGTCAATAAAACTACACACCACTATTATGTATTATGGATTGTACCCCCCATAATATTATTCTGTTTATTAAAATAGAATTGAGGTAAAAAGTATCAGGAATCTGTTGATCCAAATAGATATTGTCATCTACTGTCTAACTCAAACATTCACGCATGTAGATTGAAATTAATGTGGAACAAAGTGACAGCTTAGTGGAGGATAAGAACATTGCCATCTCTCTTTCTAATTAAACATTCCCTCCTCACCGTCACGTGAAAAGACCCATTTTGAAATTTCCTTATTAAGTAATTTCCTCTATAAAATCTCGTGTAATAGTATATACGTAGTGTGTTCGATAATATAAATGTGTATTGTGATTTTTTTTGCATTCGAAAAGATGAAAAGTATTTCACGATCCCCCAGTGCAGGCGGACTAGTTTGGTTGGATGAACCACCAGATGAGCTGAATACATGATTACAATATGATATAGTCGGTGTATTTTACCAACGTTCTATTGAACCAACAAAAAAAAAAAACTAAAATACGGTAACCAATAAAATGTGTGTTTTTTATGGGGTATATATATATATATATATATATATATATATATATATATATATATATGACATGATTGATTATTTTGGCACAATACTTTTGAAGTTTGACTTGTTAGTTCATTCATTTCATCCAGCCAAAAAAAGCATAAGAAAAGTTCCCACTGTGTTATGTTTATTTTAGTAGGAAAAGTTAAGAAAATCTATGTTGGATAACACTAAAAACCACAATTTATCAAACAAACAGTAGCAAACACACGGCGATAAATGGTGAAGAAATTTGACTTTTTGAGGTCAAATATAGGAATTAAATTTTTTTTTTTCCCTTTCCTTTCCTCATTTCCGCGTGGTCGGGCCTTAAAAATGATTGTGACATAACACCTCTTTTAATTATTTTTAATTTGACTCGGTTTTATGTTTTTCTACAATTTCGGCTTTCCTCTCTTTCCAAATTGCAATTTGTTCATCTGTGTGTTGTTGTGGACTCACCCCACCACCAACAACAAAAAAAACACCACTCTTTCAGAAGAGGGCTTCACTGCACCTTCCCAATCTTTTTCCTCCCTTCCTAACCACCATAATTTTCATTTCTGCCTTAATTTTTGTTCTGGGTCTACCTCAACTTAGTTGCTGTTGGTTGATTTTGCTTCCATGGTGTAGTCTTTTCTTCATTCTTGGAGAATTGTGAGTTGCTTACTCCACTTTTGTGTATTTTCTTTTTGAAGTGTAATTGTTGGTGCAAATAGAGATATTGAGTTTTTTTTTTGTTTTTTTTTTTGTGTGTGTTTCTTGGTTATGGAAGTTTTGGGATTTGTTTCAATTTTGGTTTTAGTTGGTTGATTTTGAAGGAAATGATTTGAATGCTAGTATTTGTGCTTCTGAGGAGCAAAGTTTGTTTCTTTTTTTTTTTTTTTTGGGGAATTGTGGGATTTTTGGATACTGGATTTGACCCCTTTGAAAGTTTTCCAGTGTTAGGGGTGGGATGAAGTCTTTGTTAGTGGCTTAATTATTTGGTAATTGACAGGGCTGTTCTGTTTTGGAAACAAACAAGCGGCCAAATATGGCAAAGAAAACTAGAAGAAAGTTTTTTGTATCTATTTCTCTGCATGTTCTAATTGAAGAAAAGTTTAGGTACAGAAAAAGTGAAGAAAAAGGAAAGAACACTGTGCCGGAGGTGGTTGTTGAATTTTGCTTACCCTTATGCTAGACGGAAAGTTACTTTATATGAAATTACTTCCAAATTGATGAATATTCATATAAAAGTGTTGTCCTTTTTTGTTTTTATGATCTGCAAAAAAGACTTTTTTTGACAACTTGTTTGTTGATGCTCTTTGGTACTATTGTTATTGTTCAATTGCGTTTCCACTTAGTTTTAATTGTCACTGTAATTTGTTAGGTATATTGTTTCTTGAAGATCCTTCTTGTTGGATTTTCATTGATAGCTGAAGATGGTTGCGGAGTCATGGTTTCGGAGTTTGTGGAAACCGGCCAAGAAACAAGATGGTGGCAACAAGGCATTAATAGGAGTGTTGGCATTTGAGGTCGCTAGTTTAATGTCTAAACAGGTTCACTTGTGGCAGTCCCTTGGCGATAAACATGTGGAAAAGTTGAGGGAGGAAATGATGAACTCTACTGGAGTTAAGAAGCTGGTTTCTGAAGATGATGATTATATTGTGAGACTGATATGTGCGGAGTTAATGGAGAATTTGACCCATGTAGCAAAAGCAGTGGCTAGGCTTTCCAAAAAATGCAGTGATCCTTTGTTAAAGAGTTTTGAGCAAGCTTTCAATGATTTGGCTAATGTCAGCATCGACTCTTATGGGTGGCTATTCAGTTTTAAGAAGATGGACAGGAAGGTGAGGAAAATGGAACGATTCATTTTGATCAATGCAAATTTGTATCAAGAAATGGAGTCACTTGGGGATCTTGAGCAGGCTCTAAAGAGAATGAAAAGCAATGATGATGCTGATAGTATTAGTTTGGTTGAGTATGAAAAAAAGATTGCTTGGAAGCTGCAAGAAGTAAAGCATCTAAAGCAGATATCTGTGTGGAGCAGGAGCTATGATTACACAGTTCTTCTATTAGCAAGATCTCTCTTTACAATATATAGTAGGATAGGACATGTGTTTGGAATTGGTAATGTGGTTGAGACGGGAGCCAAACAATCTAAACCCCTTGCTTCTGAACATATTCATCGCAGCCGCTCTGTAGTTTTCATGCAATCATCTGTTCACCCTGCTGAGAATAATATTTATAGGTTTGCTTCTGGTCCACTAAATCGAGTGACTGCAAACTCTGGCCCAATGTTGAAGACGAATAATGGTAGCATTTCTGGTTCCCTTCGCGATTATATTGGAATGTCCAGCTCTGTTCCAGAAAAACAGAAGCCTATCATCTCGTATTCAGCTCCTCTTGGGAGGTCGAAAGAAACTACAGGTCCGCTTGAGAAAGTAAACAAAGCTGGTTTGAGGTTGTGGCAGTTTGTGAATCAACCATCACGTGCTCTAGGTAAGAGCCCGAATGCAAAACAAAATCGGTTGATTACCAAGGGAGCATTGAATGAGTACATGATGGGTGGTAATAGTTCTGCAGTGAACAATGGTCATTTGAATTCAAGTTTAGATGGAAATATTGCCAATAATGTTGCACAACTTGCTAACAACAATTTCTTTCATGGGAATATATCTATTTTGAGCTCCAAGCACAAGCTTTTGAATGCGCCTCCAGAGACTCTTGGTGCTGCAGCATTATCATTGCACTATGCTAATATCATTATTGTAATTGAGAAGTTAGTGGCATCTCCGCATTTGATTGGTCATGATGCTAGGGATGATCTTTACAACATGCTGCCAGCAAGCATTAGAGCCGCTCTGAGAGCAAAACTAAAGCCATATGCCAAGAGTTTGATGTCATCTATTTATGATACTGTTCTTGCAGCAGAATGGAATGAAGCTATGTCTGGAATACTTGAGTGGCTTGCACCCCTTGCTCATAACACTATTAGATGGCAAACAGAGCGAAGTTTTGAACATCAGAATTTAGTCTCTAGAACAAATGTGCTTCTCGTACAGACTCTTTATTTTGCAAATCAAGAAAAGACGGAAGCAACCATTGCCGAGCTACTTGTTGGTCTCAACTATATTTGGAGATTTGGAAGAGAACTAAATGCGAAAGCTTTAATGGAATGTAACAGCAGTAGGACTTTTGATGACTATCTGGACGATTAGGACTTCATCTATTTATTGAGCATATACCGGAAGTAATCTGGTTAAAAGGGTAATAGTAATGATTCTGAGTGAGACTTGTTTGGAGTTTCTCCACTCTCAGTGTATTTTTATGCAATGTATTGAGGGTACAAGGTGCTCTCTGTGGAGAGCTTTCGACGGTGAAGTAACTGGATTCAGTTGTATGATGCTCCTCTTGTAGGGCATGTTACGTTCTGCTCTGATTTCATTTGCCGGATCCAGTGTTATTTGTAAAAACAATATTATTGCTTGATAGAGTTAGCAATGTCTTTTTCTCCATTTCTGTAAATTCACTTAATGGAAGTCTTCTCTTGATAATAAATGAATGGTTGAAAATTAGCCTTCCTCTTAAAGCAGAGCTGACTCACTGTTATTTTGGGAATTTGGATGTTCACTAAATAATCTGGTCATGATTTGATATCTTTTTGGTTTTACAGAAAAGTGGCATGCTCCTTCTCTTCGGACTTTGGAGCGCCGTGTATGTGCCTACGTTATGTTCCTTTCTTGTTTTATTGTTTGTATAGTAGAGGGATTCTGCATTTGTATGCAAGTTATGATTGAATGTTTACTTCATCTAAGAATCTGATGCATATTACTTTTTACAGCAGATGTTCAAGGTCTAGTAACTCCCCTTAGATAAATTTTTGGATTCCTAATTGTGCAAACTTAGATTACAGCAATTTCCTGAAGGAGGCACTCTGATGCGATGTTTATAACAGGCACTTTGGACTTTGTGTTCAATATTCCATTACAACAACCATCAGAACATCTTTTTATTGGTTCTATTGTTTCGGTGATGAGTTGATTGTATTGTTTCACTTCTGAATCTGTTTGGAGAATTGAAAGCTTTCACGTTGGTGATGTGCATCTGATGAGTTGCTTGGCTATAGGAGTTAATAATGCAAAACTGGAAAGTGCTGCGGGCCGTGAATTCAGGTAATCTTCCCAGCCAGGTATGATGCTTGTTCTTTAGCAGAAGGGAAAGAAAATAAATAATAATGATTGACTTAAATGTTCATTTGGAACGCAAAAGCTTGACGAGAGTCATCCATAAGAGGAATTTTCTTGTACCCTTCTAATTGTTATTTTTTTTACTACTTATTTCTGAATAGGTATGCATATTATTGATATCTTACTGATTTCACGAGACTCTTTAAATTTGTTTCATAAAACTGATTTGAACTTTCATTTGATATCACATTCTCCAACTGTCGCATCCAGTGTAGCACAACGCATCTCTAGCAGTTTTGTCGGTTACAACTTATAATGCACATTGCTGTTGGGATTACACAGTTGTTTTGTGATTCACTAAGAGTTGATTCGGAAGTCTAGTGGTTCTCAGCGTGATGCTTTCTGTCTCATTTTTTTTTTCTTGGATTGTTGAAGTAGGTTCTGATTCTCATTATACTGTTCTACACATCCCTGTGAAGTGTCCTCGAAATCTTATCAGATGTAGAAATTTGGAATGTTGTTATCGTTCTGTGTTTGATTCAATTCTTAATCCGTCTTGACATATCATGAAGACAAGATCAAAATCAAAGCAAAAATACTAGTTTCTGTTAACTAATTCTTACGCTTTTAAACATTTACACAACGAATAAATTGAATCCTCTTAGTCTAGGCTCCACAAACTTCCGGCTGCAGCCCTTTGGACGAAGTTAGCTAAGGGCATGTTTCTTATACAGTTTTCAAGCCTCCACGAGATGCTTGAAAATGTTCAGATGGGTCAACTGGACTTACCAGATCCCATCGCGAAGAACTCCATCTCTGAGCCACTTTGCCATCCCGTCCCATTGATCTACCAATGCTTCCACTTCTGAGGGAGTATGGGGTTAGATCGACCACCATATCGACAATACCCTTGATTCCTTTGCTTCCTCCTCCCTGATGATCAACAACATCACCATTCTGATGCCACTTCGTCTTTGTCTTCCACAACCGAGCTACAAAGATTAGAAGGCAAATGGTGGAAGTAGAACCCGAAATAAGGAATAAACCCCAGAAGCTCTCAAAGTGCAGACTCTCAGTCTTGGAATCATCAGAAGCAGTACTGGAGCAGTTCATGGATGAATCTAACAAATCACCCTGTAGCTTCTCAAGCTTACCATTCTCCATCAGTCTTAGAATCGCTTTGGAAAAATCTCGTGCTATTGGAGACCCTTTCTGGAAAACCTTCACAGCAGCATAATGGAAGATCAGGACTATTAGAAGTTCTCAATTCAGACATGGAATGAACAGATGCATTCATTCAAAACTATCAAAAGAAACCAATTATGTTGAAAGTACTCACAAAGCCTTGACCTCCAAATCTGTAAGTAGGCCCAGTAACAGTGTAATCATTACAGTGTTCGCTTAAGAAAACCTTCTGATAAGGCAGCTCGATAAATGCAGCTGTGATATTGCCACTATCAAATTTCATTGAGTAAGAATCTGGGCTGTCAATTGTTTCAATGTTTTTAAGCTCAAGCACATTCTGAACATAATCCTTTACAAAAGAATCAATGTCACATCCTACTGGGGCATTTGTTCTTCTTATCCATTCAATGTCGGTCACATTAGGCTTAAGTCTGGGAATCGTCAACATTGAAGTGAGACTTGCAGTGTAACTTGAGGTTAGTACAAACACCAGAAAGAGCCACACTACCAGCACTGCTTTACTATAGTGGCTTCTTATTTGTTCCTCTGTTTGATAAGAAGAAACATTGGCAGTTAGAAAAAAATGGGAGCTTATGCTGGGGTGGCAGTTTGTGACACAGATAGGAGAATGATACTTAACTGTGTGCGAAGAAAAGAGTGGAGAATGTGAACCACATTGCAGTTCCAAGCTGGTCTTTCCAAGGGCCTCTAAATTCTGGGTTGGTTTGGTGCTCCATGAACCACACGACGAACATTGTGTAGAACATGATACTGAATGTTGCTACCCACATATTGAAAGTGAAAGGCTTCATAAACATCCATGCGCGATGATCCTCCTGTTCCACCTTGACCATCATGGACAAACCTGATTCTGCAAATGGATGGGTAAAATCCACGTACTTGGACCGGTTTTCTAGAATTGTTATATCACCAACTGCAGCGCCGAAAGTCTACCAAAAACCAGGAAAGGAAATGAGTTGATGGTATAAGCATGAAGTTATACATGTCAAGTAGGCTGTAAATATTCTATGTACAGTACAAAAGAATAGTAAGCTAGGGAGAAAAATGCGCTTCATCATAAGTAATAACCAAATTAAACAAAAAAACATTTAGGACGCGGTTGGAGATTATTATTGCAGACTTTTTTAGGTTGGTTTTTGCAGTTTTGTTACCTTATTGTAGACACAGTCAACAAGTTCGTCATAGCTGCCATTGTATGGTACAAACTCGTAGAATAAGGTATACTCTTCTTCCACAATCTTGAGCGCTTCTTGAAAGACATCAATGCAGAAGCCAGTAGGTTCCTTCCTGTTGTTAGTCCAGTCTGCCCAATCCACCTTCACAAACTTATCAAAAGTTGTTCTTCCTGGAATTCCGATTTTCATTGGTGCTACATCAGTTGGCATTGCCCAACCTTTAGGAATTCGGTTCAGTTCACCAGGCCAATTGACTAAGCTGGTCAGGTCTTGCATACTTCGAACTCTGCTAACTGCACTGATATTTGCCTTCCCTGATTGCCCCAGTGAACTGTTTGTGAAGCTGAAACTGGGAGACCAAAACCCAAGCTCTTTGTAACTCTTTCCTACAACGTTGACAATTGAAAATACAGATTCGCCTGATATCGCATTCCCTTGGAAACGAACATCACCACTTAAACCAGTGAAATTGCTTGATTGAACCATTCTTAATAGTGACGTTGAATGATTCTTGTTATCCTCATTGAGTGATTCCATCACAGCTTTGGAAACTGCTGTGATGGCATCATATGCTCGGAGAGCATGAATTCCTGGCTCTGAATTATGTTCATCAGGGTATTCCGCCCTGAAATTTCTCTTAAACTCATATTTGAATCTTTGAAAGGGTGCAGTATTTTCAGAGTAAAAGTTCTTGATTCCTATGGCTCCTTGCATATAGGAAATACTCGAAGGCTCAACAGAATCCAGGAGATCAGAGAGAGAATTTGAAATGATCCAAACTGAATCTCTACACATTAATCCAATCTTCTTAGCTTCTTTAAACAAATAACTTGCCAGTGACAATGATGATCGTAGAACAACAAACACCCGTGATTGTGATCTTATCAAGTTCGCTACCTCATCTCGAATCATCCCTTCAGGATCAGGCACAGAAGATAGTGGTGGAAGGACTAAATGCGATTCGATTTCTGCATCAACCTGTTGAAGAGCTCTAGATAGTACAGCAATCAACTCAGAATCACCAGCATAAGTGTTGTCCTCATAAATTGCCACAACTTTCCGCCAGTTATAAGAACCAATCACTTCTGAGATGCAAGTTATTTGATCTGAGATATTTGGAACCATTGGCATCAGGAAAGGCCATCTCTGCTGCATAAATAAGGGTCTGTTAGAAGATGATGCTAATGAAAGTACTGGCACTTCATCGCCTTTTCCAACATCAGCAACCATAACACTTTGCTCCCATGTTTTCAATCCAATTATCACTTTCACTTGGTTCTCTCTAATTAACTGTTCAGCTGCAAGCAACATTTCAGACAACAAAAGTTATGTAAGTCTTCCATTTTCAAGCTTAACCATGAAGAAAACCTACAAGAACAAAGAGGAAACTTTACCTGCAGATACTGCTTGCATAGGATTGTCACTGTTGTTTTTGAAATGAAGAACTAGTCTCTGATCATTGGATGGCAGGTCATTGAAACCTTGAACTGCTATCTTCAAGGCTATTTGTTGCTCCTTTCCAATACGAGAATCGACATCGATGATTGCACCAATATTGGTTGGTTCATACTTTTTGGCAATCGCAACGGAGCTCAGCCAAGTCAGAAGGAAACATACCAGAAAACTGTTTCTGCACCTTCCAACTTTGCTCTTGCATATCAGCTGGAAAGCCATTTTCTTTTTTCTTTTTTTTTTCCCCGTTTTTGGTAACATATTCCAAGAATAAGGCTTGATACATATACTCTGAGCTGCTCTGGGTTTGAATAGTTTATGCAATGAAGAAAAGTCATTAGTCATTGGCTTTGGCAGCAAACACTAAGTCTAAGATCATATGAATCAAAATTGACCATAACAGTAATAGCTACTATTCTTGCATCTCTAGTATCTTCAAGACTTGTGGTTTCATACTGGGTCAATGTTTTAGGAAGACTATCCTTCATGCATGAAGATGAATGTGGTCCAGAATCTCCAGATTGATTTTTTTTTTCTAACATATGCTGGGAGGGAGACTAAGGAAATTCATAAAATTTAACTGTTACCGAAATGAAGTCAAGACCTAGAACATCTTCCAGGAGATACACTTACCAAAGAATCTTCAAATATTGAGAATTTCATTTCTGCAAGGAAGCAGAACATACAAATTCTTGATATGATATGTTCCATATAGGAGGCGTTTTTATTGACTACAACACATAGGTCGCTTTCAATAGACATAACATCACTCATAAATATCTGTTCCATTTGTAAGCCTCACAACAAAAAGGGAAAATTTTTTTTTTTCCTTCTTTTATTGGGGTTTAAATTAGTATTTTTGGTGTCCCTTTTGGCTTTTGCAACTACTCATAAAAGATGCTAATTTGATCAGTAGTTAAACAAGAAAAACACTCTTTGTTCCTCTGAATTCAAATAAAGGTGTATAAAAAGCAAAATAGAAATAGGATTCAGCCTTTTCTAGAGACTAAATGAATTGTTGAAGGATAGACATTCTCATGTTGCATAATCTTGTACTCTACTCTGTTTCAAAAGAATCAAACTCTCAGCTTTCTTTCTGCAAAAAAGAAGACTACCATAGCAGTTCTGCTGACTGCTATGAAAATGTGAAGTTTTCTATTCTCTGGAAGAATCATATGTCTGACTCCTAAATTCGTCGTGCTATAGCACAAAGTACATAAGCTTCCTACCTATCCATTTCCTGTATTAAATCACTAAGAAACTGAGCTACAATTAGTCCTATGAAGTTTGTGTGGTTTCGCTTTGTTCCTCGGATGCTTCAGCTCCTGAGGGTTCAGTTGGCGCGCTAGTCGCTTTTGGCGCATTATATTTTTGGAGCAGCCTGTCTTTATTTTCCTTCCACCATACTTCTGCCTGCTGCTCCACAAACCTTCTTTTACTGCAAGGGAATTGAGCACAGTAGATGTATTTCTTATGGTAAGGATTGTCTATAAAAGTTTATTTTTATAGCGGAGAAAACGAACCAGTATTAATTCATATTTGAATTTTCCTGACATTTTGGAGATGTTTGAGCCTTGATTTTTTAATCTAGCAAGTTTGGAAGGATCAAAGATCTGTAGTAATTATGTGTTTCATTTTTTGTTTTTGATGAGCAGATAGATACAAAAGATATGTATTTGAAGGCTTCAGTATTGTTGATGGAAAAAAGAGAAAGTCAATGTAGTGTGGTACCTGAATTTGACTCGCTTGAAAATTTTGGTTCCATCACTAAGTTGGAGGAGTGTTACATAAACTCCAGGTTCGAACTGTTCAATAACCTCGCGTGCAGAAGCTTTGGATGATGGTGGTCTATTCTCTGTACTAGGCTGAGCTGCACCTTCAGTGGTATCGGAGATAGGGGATCCGTTGGCACCCCTTGGAGTTTCTGAATTTTGCTGTATTTCCTGGAATCTTGGAGTATTTACATTATTTTCAACATGTGAGACATTTGGTGGAGAAGAAGAACCGGTTTCGAGTTCTACAGGTCCAATGTTTTCCAGGAAAGATTCTACTTGAGTCTGCATGGATTGGAAACTCTCTTTCTCCGAAATATCTGAAGGCAACTTCTCTGTAACTTCTTTCAACTGTGCCATGTCAAGCAACAAGGAGTTAAATGTTGGTGATGCAACTTACATGATCACGAGGTTACAATAATCTTCAATACATATTAATAGCATAGGCTTCTGAAGAAGTGGGATTGAAAAATTACTTGTGTTGCAATGGACTTCATGACTTTAACTGCCACGGTGCACTTGGAGGATCTCTCTGCAGCCAATGAAACAGATTCTTGGACTTTGTCCCTTAGCCTGCGCATTTCCTCATCTTGGAATTCACTCTTCTGCTTCAAACTTTTCATCTAATCATTTTGAAGGAAAGACAACCATCAAAATGAGATAACTGAAAGAGAAGTTTACATTTGACACAGGCAAGTGCCTACAGAAAGCAAGACATACTTGATTTTGCAGTTTGGATACTTCTTGATTCAGAAGTTCGTTCGTCTTTTTCAAACTATCAATCACACCCCTGGAAAACACTGGAGTAACAGAGCGCGGAGGACTTGGTCTCCTTGAATATGGTGAAGCAGGCCGGGAATTGGATGAAGGTTGGGGTGGTGGCTGCAGCTGTAGCTGGGGTGGAGGAGCATTAACTGCCACAGGTTTAAGAGCATATTGAAGAGCACTAAGTGAACTTGGAAATGCAATATCTTTCAAGTGTACTAGTGATGGAACTTGGGATGCTCGCACCATTGCGTAGTCATTTCTTATCCCAGGGTTTCCTGACCTGACCTCGAGATATCGGACTGACTCTGTCTTCGGGGAGAGCAGAATCCTGGAAGACCTAACTTCTCCTCTGTCCGCTCTAATACTACTGTCAGTGGGACGATGAACACCAGTCCCTTTCCGGCTGAGTGATACGCTCCCAACCTCTGCCGCCTTTTTAAGCTTAATATAGCAGGAGTCACAAACTCTATGTGGTTTTCCAGGAGTTGGAGCTAATGCTGCTTTCATTGCCTTCTTAGAACTGCAAGCATGGCAATGAACAAGGCCACAGTTATAGCAGTTGTGTCTTTTTCGAGTAAAACCAAAAGCTTGCCGACAACCACTGCAAAGTGATTGATCCGCCCCGGACACCCATTTATGAATGCAAATGCTAGCTGTATAATTTGAGCCACACGCTATGTTCTTCACATGCCTGTCTTTTAGCGCTTCAACAAATGTGGGAATGTTGCGATCTTCCAAATCTCCATGTCCCAACCTTCCATTAGCACCTTTTCCCCAGGTAAAAACTTCACTTCTGGAAGTCAGGGCTGCAACATGAAATGCTCCACAAGCTATTTCTTCTACAAATTCTCCAACTAATCTATCTTGCACTAAACAAGGCAGTTTTCCATCGTATTCTGGATTTCCCAACTGACCACATGCATTACTTCCCATAGTGAAGATATGACCTGATGTTGTAAGGGCAACAGTTGAATTATTTCCACATGCTATCTGGTGGAAATTGTAATCAATAAGTGCAGAGACACAGGTTGGGAGAAGATAAGTTTCTTTATTTCCGTGACCCAATCTATTTTTGTCTCCATCACCCCAGGTAAATAACTTCTTAGAGGAAACATTGGAAGCCTGGTTTGTGACCTCTACAATAGCCGCCGTGTGCCACACACCACAAGCAACTTTGACAGTCTTCAATCCACTCAACAGTTGAACTTCCTTTGGATAAGTGACGCTTTCACGATCACCATGACCTAAAACTCCAAATGATCCATCACCAAATGTGAATAACTTTCCACTGGAAGTTGCCAATGCTGAATGCCATGTCCCACAAGCAACGGACAAAACTTGAAGGCCTTCCAGAGGACCTGAAACTCTTTTGGGTATCCAGTGGCTACTATCATTCCCATGACCAAGAAGTCCAGCATTGTGGTTGCCATCTCCCCATGTGTATAAATCGCCAGAAGTAGATACAGCACATGTATGATGTTCACCACAGGCAACAAAATCTATATTTGTAACTGCTAAATATTCAACAAGACGAGGACGACTGAAGTCTTTTTCGATTCCATGACCAAGCCTCCCCCCAGATTCCTCTCCCCAGGTGAAGACCTCACCCTGCCTTGTAACCAGGGCAACATGTCGAGAACCACAAGCAATTTGCTGAACATCAAGTACTACATTTGACTCCAAGGGCTTAGGAGTCAGTACATCATTTATTATGGGGATGGGGTTCCCATATCTGTCGGTTGATACACCATCAGACCAAATTTCACCCCAGACATAAACATCTCCCAAAGATTCTATATCATCGGGTCCAGAACCTGCACTTGAACAACTAGGAGTGCTTGATACGCTAAGACGGAAACCATCTCCACCACTTGTTCTTCCTTGCATAGTTGTTGTACTCTCAGAACCCACATCTGAGCATGGAGAATTTGAGTTTGTTTCACGAGAACCTAGATCCAAAGAAACTCTGCCACGAGGGATACTTGAAGTAAACTCTAGTGTTGATCCAAATGGGCGTCCGTTCTGAATGGAATCGCTAACTGAGTCACGTAGCTGCAAAGTAGAAACTGTAATTAAAATTTTGGATTGTCACTAAATGAACATATATTACCAAAAATGATCAATTCCATGCTCCTGTGACTGAGTAATGCAAACAAATGGATGATACCATGCGAATTAACATGTGAACAAGAACTATTATTGACTCTTAGAACTAAATGTATTGGGTGAATATGATAAACTTTGTTTTAAGAGTTATATATAAGCCTTTTGGATGGTCTAGAAAGTTTGTAAGAACTGTCGCGGTATCGCCCGCTGAAAAGAAAGGATAAAAGAGTGACCAATAATAAGCTAAAGCCACCCCAAATGAAGTCAGCTGAAGCAAGAGATTTATGCGATCAAGTAGATTATGTTGAAGTAAAAGAGGCATGACATCATTTTCAGCATGACAATTGCACAAAAGAAACAGTGAACAGAAAAGTGCATACATCAGGAATATCACTCCGAGTTCGTCTACCACGAGCTTGGCCAGTTGAAGTTACAGCCTTCAAGCCAGCAATCCAAACCTCTGCTTCAGCTTTATCCTTGCAAATCTGTTAAAAGAGGCCAACGACATCAGTCATTTATCTGAACTCATATGAAATTGAATGACAAGCCATGAGGCTGTTTCCATTACTAAACCTACTAGAAGCAGGTCCAGGGTAGTATTCTGTTGCTTATCCAATCTCAATCCCAAGAATAAGATAAAAATCAACTTACCAGATCAAGAGATCTTTCGCCGTTGTTATATATCAGTGAAAATGACAAATACTCCTTTTCTGGTCTTAAAAATCTTCTAAATACAGGCTGCATGAACATGTAAAACAAAAGAACAAGGAAAAAGAAGTGCATTGTCATATCATCTTGCAAATGCGGGAACAAAATTTGTTGGCTGAATCAGAAGAACAGCAGGTTACTTGACTCTTTAAACTTAATCATCAATCCATCCCAGAAAGATGTGCTAACTCACGGTTCTCTGCCCAGGAATAATCCGTTGAACAGTAGATAGCTTTAGAGTCCTCTCTGACCCACGCGAGAACCAGAGCAGTGTTGTTTCATCCTGAAAATGTGAGGTGAAACTCTGAGAATTAAGGCACCTAAACTGCGTTCAAAAGCTAAAATCCTGATTCAAGTAGAACCACGCATTCACTGAATGAGACAGAACAATTCAATTAGAATGATCTAGAATTTAGTATTATTCAAAGGTTCCATAAACTACAAAGATAGACATTGATACAATTTCAAGCTAAACTTGCCCCTATGTACATAGGAAAATAACCATATCTTATTTCGAAGATGGTAAAATGAACAGAAAAAAAAAGAGAAAATGGTGACATAACACTCACTGCAGAAAGTCTGAAGGGGCAAAACTTAGGCTTTCCTTGCCTGCTGTACTTGATCAACTGAGTTCCTTTCTTCAAAGCAACCAGTGCCTTAAAAAAAAAAAAAAAACACAATCTTGGGAGTCAATTTGGACATCAAATAAGTCCCTAAGCTAATTTCAGCATCATACTTCACTCCAATCGCAAGATTCAAATGGACCAACGGAACACATTATCCACAATAACAAATATCCAATTGAACCTAATTTCTCTGCCCTTTACTATTTGATTCAAAATCATTGTCTTATTAGCCATCTTTACAATTTACAAAAATGAAAAAGAAAAAGAAAAAAAAAAAAAATACCTGCTCAATGTCACGATCAGGATTGACATAACTAGCAGGATCTGCCATTCCATGTGAAACAATTGTTGGGCAGCCAACACAGTACCCTCTTATTTGTCCCAACCATCCGCATAGTCTTCATAGATGCCAATGGCCTATCATTAACTTCCCAAATAAATCTCCAATTTCTTACCAGCCCACAACTTTAAACTGAATTTTTATACCAAATCTCAGATTTTACTCAAAAGAGAAGATCAAACTCTTTTGATTAAACTTAGAAAAGAACCGCAAAAAGTGAAGGTTTCCATTTATGGAGTGTCATCAGGAAAAGGGTTGTGATCTATGCTAAGAATCTTCAACATTTCATGTTTGATTTGCAGAATTGTGAAAAGGGTTTCGAGTGTTAGGTCATCTGAACGGATCAAACACAGGTAGAATTCAGAGAATGAAAGAGAGAGAAATGTGAGGGGAGAGAGAAAGTTACAGAAGTTTAGGAGAACGCTTGCAGCTCAAAGGAATGGGGAGCGACTTTGGCGCGCTTATTTGGTCTTCTTAACTACCTTATGAAAACTGCCAATTATAAATTTCTTCTTTAAATTATAGGGGAAAAACAAAAATAAAATAATGAATGGCCATGTCATGAAATAAATTAATTCATTTCAAACGTACTTTTCTAGATTTTTATTAGTCTTTTTATTTCCCAATTCGAAAGATCCCATTTTGTTCTTGTTTGCCCAACATTGACTACAACTGGATTCAGTAACCAGCAGATTGATTACTTATCGCAATTTTTATGTATCAATCGTATTATATTAGTTAATAATAAATAATCTTATTTTATTATTCATCGTGAGTGATCTATACAATAAAGTGACTCTTATTTTAGGGCGGAAGATGTCTTACAAATCAATAATTAGTAGTAGACTGTAAGTATATATATATATATACAACAATAGAAGATTCTTAAATTATAACGCAAAAAAACCAAAGCCCAGACCATTGTCAGGTTGACTCTATTTCATCCAAGAAGAAGCTTCAAGGAAACTGTCCCATGGATGTTCTTCGATAGTTCATAATCTTATTCATGATAAAACTACATGTAAAAGTTACTAACAGGAGAAGTACAAAATTTGTGGCGTTGAATTGTCTTCTATAGTATTGCTGGATCTTTGTATCGTTTGAACACGGTTTCGATGTCAGCCATAATTTCGGCTGGCAAAGGACGTTCGACATTCAAAAATGCATCAATGTCTTCTTTTAATTGATCCACTGAAGTTGCACCGATGATGGAACTTGTCATAAATGGTCTGTCTCGAGCAAATGCAAGGGCCAACTCTACGAGGGTAAGCCCGTGCTTCTTGGCCACTCCTGCATATTCTATTGTTGCTTCCTGAAATTAAGACGGATACATATCAGTTAGTGACAAACTGGAAACATGCATTGATCCAAATCAATAAAAATGCAATTCATAGTTTCAAAATTTTCAGTAATCATCTTGGCCACGGTATCAGAATACAGAACAGGGCAATGGGAGATGAAATGCAAACACCACCCGAGTTCGAACTAGGAAATTTAAGTACATAGAAAGAAACTTTAACTTAACACCTAGACACCAACATACCCTCGCGATGGATTTGTTGTATCTCTCCATATATCCAGGGAACAGGTTCAGTCTTCCCTTTCGAGCAGCCTCAGAGTCAATATCCAAGTATTTTCCACTCAGAGCTCCACCACCAAGTGGAGAGTAAGCAAGCAATCCGATATTGCAGTTGTTTGGATGACATACTTCAACAAGGTCAACTACAAGGCAAAATATGTTAGAGGGCAGCATAATTACAAATAAAATGCTCCAAGAAAAAGGAATACGGGCGTGAAAATATGCCATTACGGGGATGGCTGTAAAAAGTATAATCACCAAAACAACGACAATGATTAAGTAGTTAAAGTATTCAGAATGAGCAACAGACGATAAAAGCTGTGAAGATATAACAGAAGACAACTTCTGAATCTTTGGAAAGGCAAGAACAAATAGATCTTCAACTGTACTGTTAACACAATATTTGGGAAAAGAAAGAAGAGTTATGGCTATCACAACATTCGGGAATAAAGTTAAATGAAAATAATATTGCCAGAAGTGAATTTTAAATGCAGGATAGAGTCAGAAGATAACTCACCCTCAAATTTACATCTAACAAGGAGGCTGTAGCTGTTTTGAATACTGACAATCTTTGGTAGTCCTTTTACTTTAGCGGCGTGAATAAATTCCATTACTCCATATGAAGTTTCATTTGAAACGCCAATGTACCGAACCTGAAAAAATGCTGTAATCCATCTTTAAAAATTTTTTTTTTTAAAAAACACCTGATGCAAATGAACTGAAAGAAGGAACAGTGAGATTGTCAATGAGTTAGCTGGGGACATAATTCCTATCACGGTATTCCTAGACCTGCTCTTTTTTTATGATTAGTAAAAGACTCTAAACAATCCAAGTAGAATAGACTTAAACACTGAGGTTCTCTGGTACCTTCCCTTCATCAATCAGTTCCTTGAAGGCCAGTAGTTGTTCATCAAATGGAACACTTGGTCTCCATTTTGAAGGATCATAGAAGAATTCCCCAAACAGTGCAACATAGCGGTCCGGCCTGAGAGAAAAACACAACTATTACATAAAACTCAAGAGGAGTCTTTTCATCTGGCATAGAGAATGATAATCAAGAAGTTTATCTATATCGCAACAATAATTTGTGAATTGAACAACTAAGATCAATAGGCTGAAAGTAGTAAGATCATTAGGCTAAAAGTTGTAAGCAGCCAAGCATGCATGGCATTTGAGACTAAGAAGAATTTATCTCTAAGCACAGACAAGATATGGAGATTAGAAGAAGAGAAATGGATATGCCGTTTTTATGCCATGATTTGCAGCTGAACAGCGGAAGATAGCTGTCATGCTGGGTGGAAATCACAATCACAAGCAGCATATTATATATAAGACAACTCTTCGTATCACAATCAAGAAACTGGATATGCATCTGCACCAAGACATTCACTTGGGTTTCACCACTGGAGACAACAAATGCTAGGCTGCTGATAAACTTGTAGTAAACTCAAATTTCTGAGCAACAGTTTTCAATCTATCAGATGAAAGACCGTTACCTATAAAAAGAAGAATGGGGCAAAGAAATCCATATTGGCTGTAAACACAGCATGAGCACAATCAAAGAAAAACAAATTTAAGAGGAATTGAACTCAAGCTGCCTTTGGATTACTTAGTTAAATTTGGAGATAGATTAAGTTGAGTACACAAAAATTTCATCTCTTCCACTAAATATAGTTATTCATCTTTGGCGATGACTAGAACTATTTCAAGTGAACAATGCATAATATGACAGGAAGGATATAGGAAACCCAAAGATGAAAGCAAGTACGTCAGACAAGTAAAACTACTTTAGAAAAAAGTCACATAGAAAAAAATCTGCTGGTGTCTAACACTGTATGGAAGTTGAAGATTGGCTGTAGTAGATCAGAGAGCTCACCAATGTATTTGGAGCAAGTCAATGTAATCGGTACCTAAACGTTGAAGACTCTTTTCCACACTTTCCTTAATATTAGCAGCATCAACACGCAAAACTTTTGCATTGTCCCGCAAATAGGAAGACCGCTCTGAATAACCAGCAACTTTAGTGGCCACAATAACCTAGTCATGGATTTTGAACATACAGAAAAACATTTATCTGATAAGAAATGAATGCTTTCATCCAAAAAAATCATACAATTATTACTTTAGGATGTAGTAATTTCTTCAAGATGAATACTCAGAACTTTAGCTTCTAAGTTCTTATAGAGATTGCAGAATTGAGCACCTCAAAAATGCAAAATGTACCTTGTCACGGGGTTGAGACTTAAGCCAACTACCTATGTATCGATCTGTGCGCCCTTGCGTCTCTTTGCTCATTGGGATCGGGTACTTTGGTGATGATTAACATGAAATAAATCCATGAATCCACAAGTTAGAAAGAAAGCTAAGATCTTTAGCTGGACAATGGAGCAAGAAAGGAAACAAACTATTAAAAACACTGCTTGAAAGAGCACATTCTCTTTACTATAGAAACCTTCTAATTCCACCACAATCCATTTAAAAAAAAAAAAAGAAAGAAAGAAAGAAAGAAAATAGAACCACATCAACTGATGAGAAAACAAGTTTGAAAGGAAACTAATTGCAGAAAAGAATCTGTACTATCTGTACTATCATAATTAAGTTCAATACTTCCAACTGAATTTAGTTTATTTGAAAGCAACGAAGCTATGGTCACAGATTAGGCCGTTATCTAACTATACATTTGAAATAGTGCATGGAAAACACATTGTTCTGTAGAGATAACTCCTAAAGCTTCCTGTTGGTGAAATTCTTCTTGAGTGAATAGTTAGGTTACAAGAAGACTTACAGCCTCAGCAGTATCCAGAATGTTAATTCCCTGCTCGAATGCGTAATTGAGAATGTCATGAGCTTCACTCTCAGTATTCTGCTGCCCAAATGTCATCTGGATGAATAAAGCCAACATCAATACAACAGTATAACTTTTACTAACATGAAAAAACCCTCTGGCGCCCATCCAAAACAGCTCTAATCAAAATCGAATTAAATTTTCCCAACGAAATTAAAACTTTTACGAACTAGATAAAAAACTGAAATCAGAACATAATCCTAACAACGATTTTCCTTGCGGAATTTCATAATCACAAAGGGAATGAAGCGGAAGGTAAAGATAGTTACAGTTCCAAGTGTGATTTCACTGATGACGAGGTCAGAGTCACCGAGTTTCCTATACTCCAATGCCGTTTTCCGTCCCGATTTCGCGTTCACCGTCACACACCTCCGGCGCTGTTTGGATAATGCAGAATTTTTTCCGGCATTTGGGGATGAAGAGAAACGCCTCCCGGCGGGGAACCGTGGGGATAAACCTCTGCCGGCGGCGGTGCTAGAAATGAAACTCGGAAGTGGAGCATAGCTTGTGGAACAAGACATTGATTTCTGGATCAGAGAGGAATTCTTTGCAGAGATTAGTGATCAAGTGTGTGACTGTGTGTTCTTCTTCTGGGGTGAGGGGGAACTTTCCAAATTGTTGTATTGAGTAATTACTAATATGGGCTCTATAATTTAGGAATATAAATTTATCGTCCCTCGCGTTTAAAATTGAAAGCTTTCAATCCCTCCTACGAGTCCTATCCTATGATCGTATCACTTAATTAATGCAAGAAAATGTGCTAATTAGTCATAATAATCAATTGGGATGAATTTTAATGAGTGGTTAACATGGTTTTAGATACTTTAATTAAGAATAAAATTTTATAATCACCTCCGTAACGGGCACCTATTTGGAACTTCAAAATAACCACACTAAATTTACGGGCACCTATTCGGAACTTCAAAGTATTAACTGGTGAGCTATCCCAAAATGATATATTGTTATTCAAAATTTAAAAGTTTTAAACGTGACATAATTATATACAAGTGGCATTGTTCCAATGCTGCGTTTAAATAAATTTGTTAAATTTTTCCTTCTGGATTAATTACACAAGATGGAGCTGTGGTTCTAAATGATTAAATTTTAAGAGGTGAATATAGGGTTAGATTATTTTTTTTCTCCCTTCATATTGTAAGAATGTCTACCATCATGAGAGTGATGACTACTCATTTCGTTGAATTGTAGTTAACATTGAATTTTTTAATTGTTAGTCACAACATTCACTGTATTGCATGCCCATAATTACAATAGACAACCTCTTCCAATTATTTTTTGTAACCCTTCCATTTTCAGAACCGTCCAATTAATCTAGAAGAATTACTTTTTTTTTTTCCCTTTCCATTTCGAAAAACTGTGTAAGATCTGTTTCCCTCCACATTGCATACAAAATAAACCATATAGTAGTTTATCATATTTTTGCTCTAAAAAATCTTATTAATCATATGAAATATATATCACGAAATTGATCCGGTAACTTGAATTGACACCCCTTTGTAAAATGAAACAATTCACTAATAAAGATTTAAAATTTGTCCATATTCAGTACATATTTCTCGCCCACCTTTGGTGATGGACAACTCCCGTCTCCCAATCTACGTACCAATGAACCGGAATCCTTTTGGTTTTGTGACGTTATTTATGTGTAACATTCCTGGTAATCCAATCTAGTACACTTGGTATTTATTTTGACATTTTTATTATTTAACTGTTTGATCACTTTCTAAAGTGTAGATGAAAAAAAAAAAATAAAAAATTCTCATTGTAGGAAGACTAGCCATACCGTGCATCATGCATGGGGACCTCCACCCACCCTTGCAAGACAAAAATCCCTAGCATCTTTTGGCCTGCCCAATATGTTTGTTGAACGAGCTTGCATGTTAGATTTTACTACAAATGTTTTGAGTTTATCTTAACGTGATTTGAACCTTTCACAAATTAGACAGACAGGAGAGATGTTGTATAATTAAACTCACCATAAACAGTTACAAAAATATGAATAGATTTACATAATTTGTTCAAATACAAAGTAATCTAAATGTGATACGTGTTACTTTAAATCAACTCATTACTCATAGATATTGCGTATGAAAAAAGAGATCATTTATAATATATATATATATAAAAAACAACAAAAGTACTAATATTTTCTTTCCCCATCTTGGCCTTCGTGCAAATTTTTCCAGTATTCTCAGGTGTCCATTTTACCTACTTTTGTCATTTGATCTTGTTTTGGAGTTGATTCCACCAACATCAAGTCTCTCTTGCAACATTAACGCCCAAATTTTCTTTTAATACCACAAACTCGACTTCCTCTCATGCACCCTACTTCGTATTCATCAGTGATATTAAAAACATATTGAGGTGAAATTACCGGATCGGAGTTTTTGTAGATTCAACTATAGTAACATTCAATCAAATGAATGTTTAAGATTTGAATCATCGTCCGCAATGGAAACGTTTTGAAAACATCCTTGCTCCCAAGGAACGTAATAATCTCTCTGTTTTAAAATTATTGTCTAATTTGAAATTTTATTTTTAGTGTAATTTGAAGTGAAAAGTAAAAGTTTAAATTGGAAAATAATTTCAGGATAGAGGAAGAATATATGCTGCGGTGCAAAATTTTTTTTCAAATTTGAAGCCACCTCCTATTTCAACACAGTCTGTTTCCCGATGCATTCTCAAAAAAGAAAAAAGGTTGAATCAGTTGATCCATTATACGTATTGTTTTAATTGAACGGATTATTTACCTTTTTTTTGTCTAATTTTTTGTCAGGACGAAAGAAGAGTACAATCACGTTTCATCACTGGTGCACATGCATGGTATGGAAATTGATGACAAAATTAGGTTTTATAAATGTTCAAAATGGAAAGCTGACATGTTTAGTTTTGCAACCTATTGGCATCATCCCCGTCAAATATTCTGTGTCCAAAAACAGAAAGTCGCGTATCATAGTTTTGAATGGCAAATGCACTTATGAGTTAATTAGAATGATTTTCCAATAAAAAATGGAGTAGTTTGAACATTTCATGTCCGTGATAATCGAATTCTCATTTCATGTAGACCTTCCAATTGCCCTTACCAAATTAATTAATGGAAGTGACAGGATCAATTTTCATTTCAATTTTCAAATGCTCTTATACTGTCAACATCGTAAGAGTTGCATTGTTTTATTTATTTACTCCTCCCGTCCCATAATTATTGTCCAATTTGGGTGTTCATTTTTAATTCAAATTGTACTAAAAATGAAATTTTAAACTATATAATAATTTTGGGATAGAGTGAGTATTTTTTTTTAAAAAAAACAAAGACTTTATCTTGTAGAGGAGTATCACTTAAATAAAAGTTATATGTACATTTATGCTTTCATTCATATCCAAACTATATGTGTGTATGAGAATGACTTTGCCGCCAACTGTGTAGTTAGGTGGATATTAAGAGATTGTCTGATCTGCGGTTAGATATATTAAATTAATCATGACTGAAATATTATGTTGTCTGTGTTTTTCAATTGTGAATAACAAGACGCGATGAGATTTTTTGTGAAAAAATTGTTGTTGAATTTACTTTTATAATCAACACCTTCAACATTTTGTTAATAACCATTTCCATCCCGATCCCTAACCATGTAACCCAGCCGTTCCACTCCACATAGATGAAGTTTACCATTAAAAATTAGACTTACGTATATAAATGAGAAAAATCTTGTGAAGGACTTCTTGATTCAAGTCTAATAATAATACTCTCCCAAGAGTAAACGAATAATCTACTAATCAAAAACATGATTGTTATTATAAGATATAAACACAACGTGGGACTTAATGTCCCGTGTTGAATGACAAACATGCAAAAATCCGGAATAAATCAACAAATAGTTAGAGCACCTGGACATCAATTTAAGTCACACGAAAGAATTTCATCGTCGATTATATTGCAAAATGTTGCAGTCCTACTTACCCCATAGAGTCCTAGAAACGGGAAAGATGGGAGCCAATTTTTTGTTTGTTTGTTTGTTCTTACTTTTTTGACCTCTTGTAATTGTCTCGATAGTCAAAAAATTTTCAAAATCATATCTACATTGATCAAAGAGATGGACTCGGAGAAATTTGGACCGCTAGTCGGGAATTACAATAATTGATGAAAGATTACTGCAGCACATGTTACAACGTGCATGGCTTGCAGACCAAGAGAAATAACATAAAATAAGTTTTGTTCCTACGGTACTGATTTGCCTTATTTGCTTTGCGGACCTCAGATTCTGAACTTATTATTATATTCTATCTGTTCCAAAATATTATTTAATTATATTATTATTTTTATGTTTTAAAATTATTATCCAGTTTAAATTTTTACTTTTAGTATATGAGCTGAAAGTAAAAAACTTAAATTGAACAATAATTTTGAAATGGAAGGAATACATAATTAGTCATTTTAGCAAATAAATATTATAGGAGTACAATGATGCTTTTAATTCAACCTTACTATTAACTTCCTTTATATTAATTTTTTTTTTTGCCAATAACCCTACCAATAACTTAAAAGCAAAAATACAGAAAAACTCATTGAAGAATTTATTTTTCCGCACAAAGGACAAATAGAAGAACGTAAAATTCTTTCGTCACAAAATAAAGTAATATTTATTGAACATCAAAGCATGATTAAAAACAGACGACAAAGTGACTCAAAAAGAGGGGGGGACAATGGGACATTAATTAAAGTACATTAAAGAAAAACAGTGACAAGATCTCTTCAATAGTGCAAAAACCGGAATTTGCACTCCACGATACGGTTTCCGGTCTTCGGATCGGCCGAGTGAACATTCGCCACCGCAATTCCTTGCGCCATCTTAAAGTCGCCGGACCCGCCCAAGATCGGAAACTCCCTATTGGCCGAAAACTCCGCGATCCGTCCCAAAACGCTTAGAGTGCTGCCGTTATGTTTCCCTTCCGTGAACACAAAGTTAAGTGCAACAAGTAAACTCACCGTTTTTTGTGAAGACGAAACATAGACTCCTTCCACATACCCGACTTGTTTCGAGCTCGTACTTGGTCCAGATGTTAAAAGATCGTCCACAACATTGACGACACCAAATTGTGTCGGCGAATGAGCCGTCATGTTGGCCTGAGCCACCGGGACGATACTAGGGTATTGTCCGGTTGGTGCTTTGGCCACGTCGTGGATGAAGAAATGAAGCTTTTTGGATTTAGGTTTTGCATTGGGAAGATTTTTGAACCATTTGTCGGCAGCCTCGTCGGTTTGGTCGGGAATGGCATGAATTAACGGTGCCATGATCATTGAAATGGCTAGAAAGATCACTAGAAATCTCATTGCCATTTTTCCTCCTTTCTTTTTTGGTTTTGAGTGAAAAAAAGAAATGCAAACTAGAAAGTTTTCACTTGCTCTGAAACTATATGTTTGGGATTTGAGAAATTTTTGGGAGACATATATATATAAGGAGATGCGAGTTGAAATATGCTAATTAACATCAAAATTTACCGTTGCTAGAATTATCATTTTTATATTCATAAATTCATTGATATGAACGTTAAGAACAGTAAAAGAAATTGACAAATGAAAGCAAAAGCAGATGATAGATTATAAAATTGCGAAAAAGAGCCATTGATATAGGAATGGGTCCAAAACAGCTAAAAAGTTTTCAGCAGTCACATTTTTTTAATTAATTAATTAAAGCGATGACATTATTAGCTAGTTCAATTGTGGGATTAATATGGACAGATCCAGGAGGGAATTATGTTTGATGTGATATGAGTTTTTTTAAATTCATTACTAATCAAAATAGGAATAGAAGTTTCCCGTAGAAAACAAAAAAGGAAGCCCACCAACAATTATTGAGATAAAACAAACAAAAGTTTTTCTTTTTTATAAAAAACAAGTATTGAAAATTTTTTCTTTTCATTTCAAAGTTCTTCTGGTTGGATGAGGTAGAGAAAGAACAGATTTGAAAAAGTGACCGTCTTTGATATGTACTCCAAATGTTGTTCTGTACATAAAAGTAGAAGTTTTCTCTCATGATCAAGTTCAATATTGAGTGTGTATATAAACGAATAGTTACTGAAAAATCTTAACCGTCAAAGAGATCTACATAAGCGGAACGAGGAAAGCCTCGTCTCCACTTGATGTACTTTTTCCGTCCCAAAATTATTGTCCAGTTTAAGATCTCACTTTTAATACAATTTGAACTAGAAATGAAAACTCAAACAGGACAATAATTATGAGACGGATGGAGTATTAAGAAAAAAAAATTGATCTGAAGGGATGAATTTCTTCAAAAAAAATTTTAGTTAATCTTTACAATTTTTTTTTTTTTTGGTACAAAGAAAAATCTCTTTACAATTTTATATCGTAAGATTCACACTCTCATGTCTGCTACAGTAGGAAAAAAAGAAAATATTAATTATAAAAACTTTGCACATTTACAAGGTGTCCGTTAACAACACTGATTAAAGGAAATCATTGTGCGATTTGCTACTTTTAGCCAAAAAGCGAAACACAAATATCTTTATTTCGTTTTAATGAGATTTTGTATACATTTGTTCACATGTTCATCCTATTATTCTCCTTCCTTTTCCCTTTCTCCCTCTGAACTCTAATTTACTTTTCATAACAGTCACGTTTTGCGCTGTGTGTTGATAGGAGGACAAGAACTGCTGAACGACTAAAAAATATGATTGTTTCTTAGCTGCTGAAAACTCTAGTAGGTACCATTTGAAACACCATAGTTGTTAGTGTTTAATTTTTATCTATACATGATTTTAATTTAATGTAATAAGACTTCTGCCTCATCTATTGTAAATTTTTTTTTTTGACCTAGTTATATTATTGAACCAAGATAACATAAAATTCAAATATTATAAAATCTAATGATATATAATTTTGTATAATTGGTCATTTAAAATTAAATAAACCAAAATGGGGTTTTTCATAAGCCAAATTAAACTACAGACGTCCGTCTTTCATTTACCGAGAAGTTTTGTGGATGGCGAAATGTCATTATCAATAATTTTGTGGTAGTACTAGTAATTATGTAGAATAATGGGCGTCTCAAGATTTGCTTTTTACTAAGAAAAGAATTATTGAAATCAAAAGGTATGATTTTCTTTGTCTTCAAAAATAAATAAATAGATAAAATACTATATCAGCTTAACATTTCTTTAGTTATTCTAATAAGTACGAAAAGTTCTTTTCAGACTTGGTGGTGGGCATATTCAAATTGAATTATTTGATGGAAGCCAACAAATTATTGTGCTCCTATAATGAATTAATAATAATTACCAGAGTGGACATTTTTATTATTTTTTTTAAAAAAATCCTCCCTTTGGACCTCTAAAATTTTCGCTAAGAGTTTTACTAATTATAAATTAGTATTCGTTTCCAATAATATAATGGATAAAAGCAACGAGGAAAGATATCCCCAAACCTTGTGAAATGGGGAAAATATTGAAGATATTTTCTTGCCTTTCCAAAGTAGTTCTTTCAAAAGTTGGGTAGAAATAATATTGTTGTAAATACAATACACCTAAATATTGGATCAATACGGAGAAAGATATATTCACATGCTCAAATGTGTAATTTTGCTTTCTTTTTTCTTTTTCCTCCGTACATATCTAAAGGGCAATTGTGATGTCATGCATTCATATTATCATCAATAGTGAAAGAACCGGATCCGGCATTCCACAACGGCATTTCTGGTGACATTATCATAAGAATAGAGTTCGCCGGTGGCGATCCCTTGCGCCATCCGGTAACCGCCGGTACCGCCTAATATCGGAAACTCCCGGTTGTCGGAATACCGCGCGATGCGGCCCAAAACGCTAAGAGTGCTGCCGTTGTATTCCCCTTGCGTAAATATCATATTAAGACACACTGTCGATGCACTATTCTCTATTGAAGCCGAGACAGAAAGCCCTTGAACGTAACCGACTTGCTTGGAATCGTATTCTGGTCCGGCAGTCAGTTTATTGTCGACAACATAGACTAATCCGAACTCGGTCGGCGACGAGTCGGTGATATTCTCCGCCTTAGCAACTTCCACGATGCTTATGTTTTTACCCGGAACAGCTTGGAGAATGTCGTGAATGTAAAAATGAAGCTCTTGGAATTTAGGTTTTGCATGGCCATGACGAAGATTGTTGAACCATTTGTCCATTGATTCTTCATCATCATGGCTTTGAATCATTGGAGCCATGCTAATTAATCCAATAGCCAGAAATAATACTGTAATTAATTTGGTTGTCACGCTTAATTTTGCCATGATTCAATTCCAATCACTTTTGGTTCAAAATGTATTTGCATTGGATGCTTATATGCAGAATTGTTAATTGGCATGAATTGAAATTGGAGAAGTTGATGTTTTAAGCTAGATAACTTTTGGAACTTCGTTGATGCCTAAATTGGAAATTAATAAAATGTCATAACATAATGCGAGAAATAGATAAATTAGTTGTCATGATGATTAAACTTAGAGATAGGATTTTCACCCATTACTAAATCAGTATAATAAGTACAATAAAATGTAGAATCTTGTAAGCTATGAAGTTAATTGCCGCATCAACTATCTCGTCGTTGTTCAAACTCGTACTCAAAAAAAAAAATTGTGTTGGAATGACGTTTAATATTGTCCTTTTTAAAAGAAAAAGAAAACGTTAAAAAAAGACGTTCAATTAATATTGTTTTGTAACCAAGGAATTTCTGCTCTTAAAAAAGAAAGAAACATGTCATATTTATAAACTCAACCGGAAAGAGAGAGATATAAGTCGACACTCGACAGCATTTCATTTTCCATCTTTTCCTCGCTTTGTGGGAGGAACTATTTCCTTTTTTAGGTTCAGCAAACATTTTCCATATAAACCTTTCAGAACCACTTTTTTTTTTTTTTCTTTTTTTTCTTTCTTGGAAGACATATTGACGCATATATAGATATATAAGGAATGCTTTTCTGGAAAGGTATGATTTTTCAGAACATGTCTAGTCATTTTGTCAATGTTAATTAATGGGAGAAAAGTTTTGGAAATTTTCAAATTAGAAAAGTTCAACCCAAGTAGGTTAATTCAAATGCAAATGTTGCATTGGAACATTGAAAGACTAGTTAATCAGATTGTTGTACCCCAAAAGCGGCTTTACTTGCAATCAGTTTGAATTTAGATTAATCGTGATAGTATTTCGGACATCAGGTATTTGATATACCAAAAGTATCAGATTAATTGTTGGATAAATATGGAGAAACCTTGCCTCATTCCGTCATCTTTTCTGCCATATATAGGAAAGTGGGGGAAAGAAACTGATGATACGTCATAGTTAATTATTCCCTTAAGTTACAGTTCATCTTTGTACCAGAAAGTGCAGCGATGAATTTGATGGTTGTGCTTTGAAAGTTAAGTTATCGTACATCTATTTTGTAAAAAATCTAGTTTTATGTAGGAATCGTTGGTTTGGCGTTTGTTTGTCTTCTCTCTAGCCCTATTTATGATTCCCAATTTCAAACCATATTTTCATTTATAATATTGTCTTGTAAATGGTATCGAAGAAGTATTTTGTAAGGTTTGATGTATTAAAAATTTACAATTTTGTCCAATGAATGAACTTACTGATTGGAATAATTAACATGAGTCACCTGTGTATTGGTTCGCTTGAGAGGGTTGGCATTGCACATAATACAAATTTTTTATTATTGATCATCAATCAATCAATAACTTCATTGCAACTCATCACCGAAACTGATCAAATCGTCATTCTAGCCTAAGTGCTTCTTAAATTATCAGAATGCTCGAAAATCGTAAATAATAATACTCTTTCCGTTCTAAAATAAGAGTTCGGACTACTAAGTTTACGAGTATAGAAATATTAATTGGACGATTCTAAGTTAAATAACTACAAAGGGTTCCTCGTTTGATATTCCAATGCAAGGAACAAGGAAGAAAAAAAGAAAGCAAAAACAAAAATAAAAAAGAGCCAAAGCCATACCAATCCTGCAAATTCAGGAAGATCTCCATTCTAAACCGAATTTGATAGCCATCCTCTTCTCATCAGCTTCTAATACCTCTAGAAAGTCCCAATTGTCCAATGGTTGAGGCCGCTACAAAACTCGTCCTATTTTGTGCAAGTTTTCATCCGCAGTTACAGTATACAGGACGATCTCAATCTCAACACTTGCGGCTTTCCATAAGTTAGAATGATCACTCATCACTATCAATAAATCATATAACTTCTTGGGGTTCTTTAGGTTGAACGACCTTCCGAATGTCATGATTTGAGGACGGCAAATGCCAAGAATCCCAAGCCAAATCACACGAGCATATGATAAAGAAAACTTATCCAGATCGTAAATGTTTATAACAAATTCTCGAATCTCTAGTTTGTTGTCTCCAGGAAAGTCATTCTCTGTCTTTAACATCATCTGATCATCACTCAAACCATCCAACCTCTGGAAAGGAAAGTAACAAGCAATGGAAATTTGAGACCCTTTAAGTGAAGCTAAGAATTCCTTCAATTCAGCCAACTGCGAGACAATACTGATGTTGTCAACATCATGACACTCAAAAATTCGATGCGAGAGATACATTCTCCTGCTGTGCCGCCCTTGATAGATAACTTAAGGTTGTCGTATTCAAAGAAACAGTAATGCTGGGCACATTAAGGTGAGCCTCCTGCAATCTTCGAATACCTATCAGCTGCAGTTTCTTCAAAGAACGACTCGATATGTTGAGTCTTGGCAAGTTTTGGTAGTGTTTGATTGATAATACTTCAAGCTGCGGGAAATGTTGCGCCCATTCCATGGAAGAAAAGTAGTCATGGTCATTGTCACTGATTCCCACATCATGAGAAAGGAACAAACGTTTGAGATTTCGGCATCCAGGTTCACGAAAATCAAGCCAACTACAAACTGCAGGACTAGTTCTGCAGTTCCTATCAGGAAGTAACCCAACATTCAGTTGCGTAAAGTTTTTAAAATCGGTAGTCAGCCTCCATATTCCACCAGATACAGATTCCAGTTTTGGGACTTCATCCAGTTCAACAGATTGTCCCGGAAGTAAACCAAACCTTCAGTTGACTAAGGTTTTGAAGATTGGTAATCTTGAAACAACCCTGATGTTTAAAATGTCCAATTGGGCAACGATTAATCTCCATGATTTCAATTCGACCGCAGCTCCTGATTATACTCTCCAACCATCCCTCCATGTTGTTTTCGAAATACACGCCCGTCTACCAGAAGTAGTTGTTTGAGATTAGGCCAGCATTGGAGTTGGAGTGGATCTCCCTTCTTCTTGCTGCTCCCAAAATGTGCAATTCTCTAAACTTAACTGAACCAATGATCCAACTTCAAAAACTGATGAAGGCAAGACACTGCTGGAGTAAATCATGTCTAGATTAAGGCTTCTCAAACCTGTTATTGAGGTGGCTAATTCGACACATCGGTGAGTGAAGGATTATCAGGATGAAAATGTAGCAGCAGTTGTACATAATTCTGATGATGATTGTACAGTTTCATCTGATTATATATTAGAAGATGTAGCAGATGGTTTCCCTTTTTAGCCCTTTTGTATATAACTGTACCTAGTTATTTAGATAGGGTTATACATGTAAATTCATTGTACATATTCTAGAAGCAAGGCAGTGATACTGTAAACTATTAATACTTGTATATACAATTAGTTGTATAGCTTCTTTACTGATTAATACAGAATATACATTTTTTTCCCTCTTTCGTTTTTATGAACCCTAGAAACATGACTTCCGCTGCACCTCTAATTATCATCTTTTAGATGGTATCAGAGCCATATCATCTCAATCGAAACCGACTATTCTGCTCAGTATCTCTTTCCGATTCGATCGATCCAAGAATTGCATTCTTCTCCGGTTGATTTCAGATGGCGGTCGAGTCAAACGTAGATCCAATTGTTCCGGTTCGCGGAGGCGCGGTTGCTCGCAGGACTGAGGATTATACTTCCGGTAGTAATACGACTGGTAATACCACTGTAAATCCTGCTGATGTTTACAATTTGAATGATGGCATCAATCCGTCTCTTATGTTAGTATCTGTTCAATTAAATGATTACAATTACTTGAATTGGAGTCGGTCAGTGCGAACTTCTTTAGAATCTAAGATGAAATATGGTTTTGTGGATGGTTCATGTGTGATGCCGCCTGTGGGTACGTTTGAGTATCTTTCGTTGGAAACAGGTTGATAGTACGGTTAAATCATGGTTAAGTGCTGCTATTTCACCTGATGTCATGGAAGGTTTTTCATATGCATCAACTGCAAAGCAATTGTGGGACGATCTGGCTGAAAGATTCGGTAATGCAAATGGACCGATGCTGTAACGTATGAGAGAAGAGCTAATAGGCTTAAAGCAGGGAGATCAACCATTGGTGAAGTATCACAATGCTTTGAAGAAGCTTTGGGACCAGTATGATCATTTTAGGCCACTTCCGGAGTGTCCACATGCTGTAGCCAAGATTTTGATTGAAAGGGATAATGAAGATAAACTGGTGCAGTTTATACTAGGCCTGAATGAATCTTTTCAGACAGTCAAGGATAATATAATGATGATGGAACCACTTCCGACAGGTAAGCAGGCCTATGCAATGGTACTTCGTGTGGAGAAGCAGAGAAATCCAGCATCTTCAAGTTCACCACTGATTAGTAATGCTGCTTACTCAGTTACATCAAACAACACTTATCCTGGAACACCAATCCTAATACTGCATTGTTGTCAAGGGCACCGATGGGTAGAACCAAGAAAACCGAGTCTAGTTATGAGTATGCCAAGAGGAAATTGGAGAAAGAGTCTTTATTCTGTGTGCACTGTTAGAGAACTGGTCATGACATAGAGGGTTGCTTCAAGATTAAGGGGTATCCTGATTGGTGGCAAGGGAGCAAGGATAAGGGTCAGAAGAATGCTTTTGCTCACCTTGCGGAAGTTGAGACTCCAATGGATTATGCATCAAGCGGACTTTCTGGTTCAGACGTGGATGTGAATGCCTTGATGATGAAGTTAAACACTCTGCAGCAGGAGCTTAACAGAGCTATCAAGGGAAAGGCCAATGCAGATTCAGACACCGCTTTGCAGCAAGTTAATTTTGCGCATTTCGGAGAATTATCAGGTAGTCATTCTTTCCCTTATCTTGATGCTGTTAAATCATATGCTAGCGTTTTTTGGATTAAAGATACATGAGCCACGAAT